AATTGTAAATTAATTACGTAACAAAGATATTTTCATAAACAAAAAAAAACTAGTCACTTAAGATTACAATGACCATATAAGGAAAATGTTAAAAAAACATAATCAAATAAATTTAGATAAAAGATGGATACAAACAGATATGACCATATCAAAAAACAAACCACAAAATGATGAAGTTATTGAAAGATCACCGATATCGTAATTGAGCGGCATGAAAATACTATCTACGAACGTAAATCGTGTATTCAAATCCAATCGATGGTCCAAAGCAATGAAATTTACATGATAAAAAATAAAGCGGTATCTTGATTAGTAATGACAATGTCAAAGCCAACCTTGAAAAAAGAATAAATGAAATTAACGACCAAAGGACCAAAAATGTTCCATAAAGACTGAGAAAAGCGTGTCATAAAGACAAAATAAAACGTGGCATAAAGACATAATTATTTAAAATAAAAACAAGGAAAAAAATAAAGATGTGTTGTAATAAAGTAAAGGAAAAACAATGAATATCAGCGGTCGATGATTAACACCAAGACTAATATCGTTGTCGATCATAAAAATAAATTAGAAAAGAAACTAACGATGATTAAAAAAAATAGAAAAATATGATAAACCCTAAAATATCCACTTAAAGTACTTTGTATACGATCTTATGGTACAACTATATATTATATATAATATATTTTTTAATTTTTTAATATTTTATGATTTATCGTTTTATTGTTTATGGTATATATATGTACTAAATCTTTTAATTTTTTTTAGTATTTTTTAACTATATATATATTTGAATAATTTAATTTGTATTTTTAGTATTTTTATATTTAATTTTTTGAATATTTAAATATTTTATAATTAAAAAATTAAATAATCTCCTAATTTTGGGTAAACTACAGAGTTGGTCACTTTTGTTTCAATTTTATAAACATATGGTCACCTGATCCAAAAAATATAATATATGATCACTTTTGTTTAGTTTTAATAAAGATGTGGTCACTGAGACGTTAGCTGTTATGAGTTTGATGACGTGACACGTTAGTAAAAATGTTTAATTTTTATTTGAACCCTTAAACTTTAAATAAATTACTAATCATGGGGTATTTTTGTAAACTCAAAATGGTTCATGATAAAATATCAATTTACCCCTTTTTTATATGTTTTCTTTACCAGCCCCTTCCCCTGCTTCCCCAGCGAAGCAATATCGTTATTAAAAAATGATCAACATCACTACATATGGAAAAACTCTCTGAACAATTTAATCACCGGCCTCTCCACCCGCAATTCGAACACTGGCTTAGCCATCAGCAATTTGAGCACCATTCGAACAATCAACATCACTTTGAATGCGTCCCGGAGCAACATCAACCATCGATCACTGAATAAAACGATAGGTTCTGCTCAGGGTTTCAAAAAACGTTTCGCAGTCGCAATTTCGTCCGTGATATAGCGGTTTCGTCGCTGTCCGAGTTACCCGCTACACCCGCAATAGCGCATGCAACAACCACAATCACGGTAAATTCGAAATGACCGAAAATACGACCACGATTTAAAACCCTGATTCTGGTCCACTGATCAGTTTGAAAACGATATTACTTCACTGGGGAAGCGGCCGATAAGGGGTTAGAGAAGAAAAATATGGAAAAGGGGTAAATTTATATTTTATCTCAGAACTATTTTGAGTTCACAAAAAGTAAACATTCTTAATTAAAAAGGAGCAAAAGTAATCATATATTATATTTTTTGGATTGAGTGACTATACATTTATAAAATTGAAACAAAAGTGACAAACTCTATAGTTTACCCTATTTTTTAAAACTATCAATTTTACTCTCAAACGAGACCAGAAAAATTATTTTAGTCCATTTGTCATGTCATTTTCCATGTAAGCCACCATTATTACAACTATATTAGCACTGTGAACTGCCACATCAATATTGTAACGGTAAACAACGAAAAACATTGGTCAAATAACTATATTGAATTTATTTTATGAGTTAGAGGGTCATATTAGATGAAAAATAATTCGAGATTCACATTAGTTTTTTTTTAAAGTACAATAACCTTAAATGTTTTTTGCCTTTAAAATATAATTTACTCTTTTAAAGTATATTGTTATTAAAATTTAGGGTTAACTAAATGGATGATCACTTATGTTTGTGTTTTGTCAACTTTTGGTCATTGATTTCAAAATACATAAGATATGGTCACATTCGTTCTTATTTAATTAAGATGTAGCCACTGTGAGTTAACTGCCGTTAAATATTTCAGTATAGTCACACATTTGGTCTCTATTATTTACATATTTTCTCAATATAGTCATATTTTTAATAAATTAAAATAAATTTAATCCTCCAATCAAATATTATAACTGTCATTGGTACCACGTATCGTGTAATGTGTCACCATTGGATTGGAAAACTAATAGGTGTCACCGTTGGGTTGGGAAACCAACTTTAATTTATTTTAACAAAACAAAGCAAATTGGTGGAAAAACAAATATATTAAATTAAAATAAAGTTAGGCCTCCAATCGAATGACGACACATGACACTAGTGACACGTGCCATCATTTGATTGGAGGATTAAATTTATTTTAATTTATTAAAAGTATACTAAACTGAAAGAATATGTAAATAATAGGAACCAAATGTGTGATTATACCAAAATATCACATCACTTAATATGATAACTGTTAACCGTAGTTAACATGTGGTGACCACATCTTAAATAAATAAAAACAAAAGTGACCATATCTTAAATAAATAAAAACAAAGGTGACAATATCTTATGTATTTTGAAATTAGTGATCAAAAGTAAACAAAACACATACATAAATGATCATCAATGTAGTTAACCCTACAATTTATTATCACGTAATGATACTCAAATTTTCAAGAGATAGCATAACACAATTTCATATAAACACATATTAATATATATAATTTCAGGATTTAAATTGATTTTTTTCTTAGATGAAAGTTACTTTCTCAAACATTGATACATCTATAATAATTAGAAACTATTGTTTCTTCAACGATTTTTTAATTAGTATATACGTTTTAAATATAAAAATATAATAATTAGTCTAATGAGATAAGATGTTAAATTCTTAAAAGAAAGAAAAAACAATTTATATCATGAATGAAAAAAAATAAATTTTAAAAAATTGTCTTCATAATAGTTAATCAAATTAATTAGTTAATAAATTAAATATAAATGATTATATAAAAATAAAATATTTATTATTATTGTATAAAATAAACATTTAATAAACTTCAGTTTGTTTATTTCTAATTATATGTTTATATAAGCATTAAAATTATATATGAATTCAGTTGTCGCAGATATTTTGGGGGCGGTAATGAGCTGAGAAGCTGAAGCTCAGTAAGGCTGAAATTTATTGGTTGCCTTCCCATTACTCCGTTTCAATATTCAGGTCCCAGTCTCCTCCCATCCATAATAATACACTAAGATATTTTTTTTTATAAATATAAATAATTTTCAATTTCTTTTATGATATTTATAAATATAAATATAAATATAAATATGAATATAAATAATTTAATTTAATTTAAAAAAATTAATCACCTTAAACCTTTTTCAATGATCAAAATTAGTCGTAGGATATTATCAATAATAACAATATAAGAACTCGTCGTTAAATCCTTCAACGATGACAAACTGTTACAATATAAAAATTAATCCTTAAATCCTTTTACATCTTTAAATTTTATATATTATTTTTTTTCTTTTTTTCATCTTCTAATTTTATTTTGTAAATTTAATATTTGTTTAATAAATTTTACATTCATTTTTATAAGAATGGATAATATTTAAGTTTCTACTTTTAAATAATTAGGAATATCTATCAATATGAGATAACTAACATAATGATCTAAAATAAAAAGATCAATAAATAAATAAATAAATGATAATAAAAAGTAACATATTCATAATTGTTTAAAATATTATCTCAAAATATAATTGCTTGAAATATTTGTATTCGAGTTGTGATAAAATTAATTGTTAATATATTATTATTATATTACTGTTGATGGTATTTATTTATTATCATTAACAATGAAGTTTATTTTTATATATTTTTTGGGTTGTTGAATTATTTTGTTTAATATTTTAAGTATAAATTATTAATTTTTTTCGATGATTAAAAATGATTGATTAATATAATTAAATTCTAAAAAAGTAAAATAATTTATTTTAAATTGCTAATTGCCATAAAATATTTTTATTTTAAGGATTTAATTATGTCTCATGCATAAAGGTTAATTGGTTTAAAAATATTTTAAACGAAAATGCTAATGAAATTTAATTTTGATTAGTTAATGGAAATCTAGTGCATAGAGACGGAATTAAACTATCAAAGAAGAAGATTACATTTTGGTACGAAAACAAGAAATATGAAAATGGGAGAGGGAAAGGCTGATTCTTCTGGTTTGGGTCCCGCTTCCTCGATTGCTGAGTTTGCAACACAGAAGCATCTTTCAGTTTCTATGATCAATCACCACTCGCTCGTGGCGCGTGATTCACCAACCTTCCTCCCATTCAAACTCCAAAAAGTAGGAAATTTCATTTCACGCCTCTCCACTCGCACACGCCTCTCTCTTCTCTCCCTCAATGAGGGTTTACTCCCGTCGGAAACACACAGTCTTAACGCCGTTTTCAAGCACATCCTCAAAACGACGACGTAGGTCGTGGTGTTAGGCAACAAGCTGTTAAAACATCTGGCTTCACGAAACGAAACCGAAAAGGGGGAAAAACAAAAGCAAAAGTAAAGAGGAGGCTAATTATGTCTGTGCCTTCGCTTTTTACCTAAGACTGCTTTGTCTTCGTGTCTCTCTTAACACATGTTTTAGGTTTAATAATGTATTAATGTATTAAGAAGAGCTTAATTAATTTCATTCTTTGTTTTAATTTCACTCTCAATTCCCAAGACTCCACTTCCTATAATCAAAATCTTGTGTTTTCTTTCCCCTTACCCTCTTCACTCTCTCTTTTTCTAGGGTTTTATTTTATTTTTATTTTCTACTTTCGGTTATATTTTTAAAACCTTCTTTTATGAACTAAAACTACAAAGCAAACAGTACACACACAAAGTGAATAAAGGGACTGTAAATAAAAAAAAAGTTTTTTCCCTAAAAAAATGCTTCTGGTAACTTAAGTGTCGTGAAGTCGATGTGAATCGAGTTGATGGAGCTGAATTTCTCGCTTGGGAACCCGACTGTCTTTGTTAATTAAGTTGTCAAGTGACGGCGTCTCTCCTCGTTTTTGGAGGGTTTAAATCGGAGTGAAAGGGAGATCTCAAGGGTTTAGTTTTGTTCTACGAAGGATCGAGCATTGATGTAATGGTAATTAAGATTTATCGTGAAGATAAGAAAGAATCGTGGCCTTTACAATGCATTTCGCTAAGCTCGATGACTCTCCCATGTTTCGTAAGCAGGTTATTATCTCTCAATCTCTCTCGATGTTCTTTACACTTGAAGGAAGTTGGGAACATTTTAGATTTATTAGCTCCCCCCTCAAGATTGTTTCCATATTTAGCGAATTATTTTGATTGCGGTTTATGTAACCTTCAGTGCATTATTCGCGTTTGGTTGTCGGAGAAAAGTAAGGCAAAAGAAACAAATCAAACGAGAATATCTTCCCCCTTATCCTTCAAATTTTCTAAGTATGTAAACGGAGCAGTAGGTTTCTCCAAATAATTTAGCTAGATCAGCTGTAGTTATAGTATAATTAATGTTGTAGATTTTGGCGTAAAAAATGTTTTGAGGATTTGGGGAGATTTATTTTATTCCAAATAGAGTTAGAGCATGTTCGAAGCTGGGTTTCTAGCTTGACTATCAGTATCCACTATTGGTGGGTTTAAAAGACTATTTAAAGAGTGATCCTTGATCTCTTCTGGTTGGCGTTGAGTTGTATTATCTGAAAATTGAAACTATATGGCACTAATTTTTAGATATTCTATTATGCTTTTAAGTTTGGCGTGATTAAGCTCTCTCTAAGAATTGGAAAATATAAGATTGAAATCAAGTTAGAAGATTTATACTCAACATTTTACTTCATGAATATCTTTGTCAGGCGCCAATCCGATATCCAATCAGTCTTTCCTACAGACCGATTGTAGTGAGATGGAGTATCTCATTTTGCTTTAAGGCATTGTTTACATCCACAGTTATGCATGGTTATAGGGAGAGTGTAACTGTTTGTTCTAATGGATTTGAAATGTTCATATGCTCACTTATCATGACTTGGCTAGCTTCTATATGCATGTTTCCTTGCTGCCAACTCAACAATAGTTAGTGATTTTTCCATTATTTTTTTGAGTTTCAAGATATATTTGATTTCTTGTCATGTTAATTTTATGTTCTACACATGCTATTCCTCTGATGAACACTAATTCTAGATATTTATGAGGTAGTATATATGTTTGGTTATTTATGGACATGTATAAATAATTTATATATTTTATTTGGTGGGACAGATACAATGCATGGAGGAAAGCGCCGAGTTGTTACGGGAGAGAAGCTTAAGGTTTTACAAAGGATGTCGAAAATACACGTATGTATAGATCATCAAATGTATCTACGAATTTGATTGTTTTAATCACACAAGATCCCTTTTTCCCTATTGAAAGAAGTATATGAGAATGTATAACGTGGCTAAGCATGAATTCTAAATTAAATAAAGAAATAGTTCAACATTCCTATAATGGGCGAGGTATTTGTTGCTTGTTTATTTATGCCTCTTTAACATAAAGGTTGTCTGTTAGTATGCATTAACAGTCTTTGCCTATATCTATTCTTAAATTTCTTCTAGTTTCAGGGTCTTTAGAATGTTTTTCAACATTCTTTCTTACATGTGGCTCAAGCGTATGAAGAAAAAACTGAATGCAACCTTGCATTATATAAAAAAAAAAACTTCAATGATTATGTATGTATTAGTTATTCTTCTTTGTACTTGACCCTAGGTCCATGTTTGCTGCTTTACACAAGAATGCTTGATACTCATGAATGTCCTGGCTCTCACTGTAAAAGTAGTTACATAATCGTAGTTCTCAACAGGAATAGACTTTTTATTCGTAATGGTTTCTTCCACTGGAGATAAAGGGTGTTGCTTCCGGCTTGAAGCCTTTGAATTGGGAAAATATTTATTTGTGTATTTATTTTTCTCTAATTGCAGTGAAGGACTTGGGGAGGGATATGATGGGGACATCGCTTTTGCAAATGCCCTTGAAATGTTTGGTGGAGGACATAATGACCCTATTAGTGTGGCTTTTGGAGGTATGTATTTATTCAAAATTTTGTGGCAAAGTTTTTTTGTTCCACTTGGTTGAATATTGATGGAGAGATGGACAGTCTCAAGTGGTTGTGAGTGTGACTATATTTATTTTGCTTTGGTGTTCTTCCTATTATAGTAATGATTGGATTGATCGCTATAAGCTGTCCAAAAGCCTTTCTTTTTTCTTTTTCATTCTGTTCTTCGGTTCTAACATCACATTTAGATTATATTTTGGTTTGTAACCATATCTGTAATTGAACCTTTTTTCGCTTCTTTAGGGCCGGTTATGACCAAGTTTACCATAGCATTGAGAGAAATTGGGACATACAAGGAAGTTCTTCGGTCCCAGGTAATTCTCTGAACTATCATTTTAACTTGAATTCAAATTTATTACTGAGGAGTAAGGACCTAAGATAACTGGTTTTGGATAAACTCACTCTTTGGCATTCTCCAACTGCTGCTGTGAATACCTGGTGAAAGGAAATGATAATCATTTAGAAATGTCAGTAGTAACTAACCTTTTGTTGGTTGTTTTCTTCATGGATATTTAACACCATCTATGTTCTATAAAACTGTCCTTTCTTTTCAAAATTGTGAGAATATAAACTTTACTGCTATATTGAACTTTGACACTATATAGTTCATTGTCCAATCATATTAACATACAATAATATTTGTGAAATGCTTTCTTTTCTCTCTAGGTTGAAACCGAGCTAAATGACAAATTACTGCAGTTTGTCAATATTGATTTACTTGAGGTCAAGGTAATCGCCTTTCTCTCAAATGAATTTTAAGTTACCCTATAAAGTTGTGAGGATTTGGAACTAGCTAAAAGCTGGGCTGCCTAATTAACTTTTGTTATGTAAAAACAGTCTTATCAAGAGAAATATAGGTTATTTATTTATCACTTTGCTATAGATTCATCCAACTTCTTATAATCCGTGTATTATTCTAGATCATGTATTTTTTATTTGTAAGCTTTTTGATTTAAAATATCTTATCTGAGTGCAGGAAGCACGTAAACGCTTTGACAAGGCCAGTCTCATTTACGACCAGGTGCTTTAGAATTTAAATTTATTTTGCTTGTGTAGTTTGTTAGCTTGCTTTATTTTCATTGATTGAATGTGATAATATTATTTGGAGTTGGCCTAAAATCAAATTAATTGTTACATTGTATTGCTTTGTGTAATCTTGCAGGCTCGTGAAAAGTTTCTTTCACTGAGAAAAAGTACAAAGAGTAATATTGCCAATGTTTTGGAAGAGGTATCTTGCAAAATGGTTTGCTTTAATGGTTTATAATTTCATGTATCGGACATTCTTACTTGCGTAGATATAATGTTGATGGATATTTTAGTCTGACATGGTTGACGTTATTCTAGGAACTTCATAATGCAAGGTCAACATTTGAGCAGGCTCGTTTTAATCTGGTGAGTGACTTGCTAGCAGATGATTTCTAAATTGATGTTGCTTTGATAGTTCAAAATTGGTTCAAGATGGTAATTACACTACTGTGGTTTACAATTACAGGTAACTGCTCTTTCAAATGTTGAAGCCAAAAAGCGATTTGAGTTTCTGGAAGCTGTCAGTGGGACTATGGATGCGCATCTTCGATACTTCAAACAGGTTATTGCATGGCATGACTTCTCTATTTCTTTGTCATTGTTTCAAATTTCAATATCTTGCTGAATGCATTGCTCATGACTAACTTTGGTCATTTATAGGGCTATGAATTATTGCATCAAATGGAGCCATACATTAATCAGGTTTGTTATCATAACTTCCCTCTAGTCCGAGACATATCTTTCCATCTCTGATTGTGCTGTATTTTATTCATCCAATTGTTCCTTAAAAAAATAATATCCCTGTACCGATTATGGTATCAGTTGTTCAAGAGATTAGTCATAGCATGTTATAAGAAGCACGGCTTATGATTGGCTTTCCCTTTGAAGCAAACCAAAGCAAGAAGGGATCTTGTAACTTGAATTCATGATACCAACAGTTTTGGTTCTACTATGCCTGTGTATGTGCTAAGTGTTGAAATACAAGTTTGCAGGTCATGACCTATGCACGTCAATCAAGGGAAAGATCCAACTATGAGCAGGCAGCTCTAAATGAAAGAATGCAAGAGTACAAACGGCAGGTTGACAGAGAGAGCAGATTGTCTTCTAATGGTTCTAATGGATCTCCTAACGGAGATGGTATACAAGCAATTGGTAGAAGTTCACATAAAATGATAGAGGCAGTAATGCAGTCTGCCGCAAAGGGAAAGGTTTAAAGAAGATTTTAAGTTCTCCTGGATTTCTGTTCGTGAAAATTTGTTAGTCCTACACATACTTTTGCATCTATGTACCATATATCTGCACCTGAAACTTGGATATTCTTCCAGGTTCAAACCATTCGACAAGGTTATCTGTCAAAACGTTCATCAAGTTTGAGAGGAGACTGGAAAAGAAGATTTTTTGTCCTTGATAGCCGAGGGATGCTGTATTACTACCGTAAGCAATGCAGCAAATCATCTGTAAGATTCTTCCCGCTCTCCAGCTTTGGGAAAACATTAAAGAAGTAGAGTGTTTGAAGTGCAGTTTGTGACCAAAGCTCCATTTCTCTGTTTTGATTTTTCTTGGTGTATTAATAGGGGCCTGGCACTCAGCTTTCCAGTCAGCGAAATAGCTCTGAGATTGGATCTGGATTATTGGGTCGGTGGCTTTCTTCTTCTCATCATCATGGTGGTGTGCACGATGAAAAATCTGTTGCCCATCACACAGTGAATCTACTTACATCAACAATTAAAGTTGACGCTGACCAGTCAGATTTGAGGTTTTGCTTTCGGATAATTTCTCCAACCAAGAATTACACGTTGCAGGTATAACTTAGGTGTAGCCTGTGTTTTTCATTAGGGCTTAACTTGTGTCTAGATATTTTTGTTATTTCTGGGATCAACCAATTGCTGGATTGATGGACCAAAAATGTTGCATTGTGTAGGATTAGGATTATTATTTGCAATTGACCTCAATAATGTTTTTTGGTGCTTGTTAGTGCAGGCAGAGAGTGCACTGGACCAAATGGATTGGATTGAAAAGATAACTGGTGTTATTGCTTCATTACTTAGTTCTCAGGCTCCTGAAAGGGTAATTATTCAACATTTAGCATGTTTTTTGCTCGTTTATTCCTTTAGTGTATCGATAGTTCATGGTTGCATTCATATCATTTTTCAGTGTCTTTCTGCTAGTCCCATGGGAAGTGGTCATCATCGATCTGCCAGTGAGAGTAGTTCTTTTGAAAGTTCTGATTTTGATCACACTGCTGTTGAAGAGTATAATGCCGAGAGAAACCTTGTTATTGCACATAATGAACGCCAATCAAGGGCTTCACAACATCAAAGGTCATGTGTAAAAAATGAAAAGCCAATTGATGTACTGCAAAGAGTTTGTGGGAATGAGAAATGTGCAGATTGTGGTGCCCCTGAACCTGATTGGGCATCTTTGAATCTGGGTGTTCTTCTTTGTATTGAGTGTTCTGGTGTTCACCGTAATCTTGGTGTTCATATTTCAAAGGTGAAGTGAATATATTATATATGACCTTTTTATGTTATCCTTATGAGAAGTCTTCATCTCGCAAGAATTTAAGTGTTCCATTGATCAATTGCTGTTTTCTCTTGAATTTTCTAATTTTTAAAGAAAGATAAATGGTCGTCAGTAATGAACATGGTTATGCGAACAGGATGAAAAGTATAACATCTACTACTTATTGGATTATAGGAATTTGAGAATAAAGGGAAAACTTCTTTTTCTTGTTGGGATTTGTATTTCTTTTTCTTCTATAGAATATACTGTTTTCGTGCTGAAATGAGTTATTTTAGCTGGATAACACCATCACTTAGTTATTGTCATTGATGTTGCTTACTCATTTGTGTAGCTCTTACGTTTTGGTGGTTCATATTTCAGGTTAGGTCGCTTACTCTTGATGTAAAAGTATGGGATCCATCTGTTATAAGTTTGTTTCAATCGCTCGGCAACACCTTTGCTAACTCGGTCTGGGAGGAATTGTTGCATTCAAGAAGTGCTTTCCATGTTGATCTTACCCTCACAGGGTATAAAATCTTCTTTTCTTATGATTAAATTACAGTACATGTAGTAAAAATAAAGCTAAACTTGGTTCTCTAGTTGCTTGTCACTAACACTTACTGATTCTGGTGATGAAGCTTTTTCAAGTCTGATAAGCCTCAGCTGCTGCTTATGGGAAAGCCTTGTCATTCTGATTCTATATCTGTAAAGGAGAAATTCATACATGCAAAGGTTTAATATTTTTCCTTCAACTGTAGTCTTAACATTTTTTTGGTGTATTTCATACAGTTGCTTATGGTTAACATGATAGATGTTCTTGTCAATATGTTTTCTTTGAATGTTGGATAATTGTATTTTAATTCTGGCTCCATTGTTTTTAAGGCATACACCTAAGCACCAAACAACAAAAAACTCTCAAACTCTTTTGGGTGAGACATTTGATAAGGTGCATGCCTGGTGTGCCTATGCATGCTTTCTGGGAAGGTAGCAGGTGTAAGGAATTTGAATGTTTCATTATTCAACAACAAACGTGAGTATAAGAAAATCATGTATAATTGCCCACAAAAAGGGGGGTGGGGTTGGGTTGATTTTTGCATGTTTTATAGAGTTAAGAAGTTGTCAGAATTATGTATCTCAAGCTTACCCTGTCTATACTCATACAAACGTATAAAAGCACAAAGACGCATTTGACCTTGCTTCAGTCCGATGTGTTCTCGTGCCTTGGGCAATATAAGGGTCAACACTGAATAGAAGACAAACATATGGATGTGATAGGTATAAATTAAATTTTAGGGGTTTGCTGAACAAATATTAATTCCAGAACTTGACCAATGTGGTGTATCATTTAGCTGTTAAAAACATGAAGATTGCTGAACAAATATTATGCCTTGCGGATAATAATGGAAGGGCTGACCATCTTCTATCTCTTAACTCCAATCAATATGTCCTTTTTGCTGTGCTCTTAATTTGGTGATTCATGAAAACCTAGAATATTCTCAGGCTAGAATATAAAACATATACTTCTGTTTTGATCAATCGAAGGCTATCTCTGTTCATGTTGGGTTTTAAGCAGTATTTGATCAATTTCTAATAATTTGCTGTTTGTAACTATTGAAAGAATTTTCTTTTTTTTCTTTTGATCTCAGTATGCAGAAAAGCATTTTGTTTGCAAGCCAAAAGTTGAGCAACATCATCAATCAGTTGCACAACAGATTTGGGAGGCTGTTCGTGCTAACGATAAGAAGGCTGTATACCGTTACATTGTTAATTCTGAAGCAGATTTAAATGCAGTGTATGAACAATCTTCTGTGTCTTCGTTAACCCTTGCCAAAGTGATGCTACTGCAAGAACATTCAAATGTAGGAAACAACTCCAGTTACATCACAGGGGATTCATCAGACAGATCCTCTGCTAGCTCTTTCAACTTGGTGGATACCAGTGAAGGCCAAATTGCAGACGATTTAGATGGTTGTACCCTACTTCACCTTGCTTGTGAAACTGGAGACATCGGCATGATTGAACTTCTATTACAATATGGATCAAATATAAATGTAACGGATTCAAGAGGTCAAACACCCCTTCATCGATGTATTCTCAAGGGAAAAGCCGTACTTGCTAAATTACTACTTACCAGGTTATTGGTGGATCCTTACTATAGGATATTGTTATATTCAATTAACTTTACACCACTGAATGTGCATTTGGAATGTTACAAAGGTTTCTCCTGGTTTCCTGCAGGGGAGCTGATCCGCAGGCTTTAGATAGGGAAGGTAAAACCCCTCTTGAGCTTGCAGTGGAATCAGATTTTGACGACGGTGAGGTCCTTGCTTTATTATCCGACTCAAACGGGCAACTTGGGTAAAAGAGTTAAAAATGGAAGTTTGAGCTGCACCTGAAGTGTGAAATTTGAAAATGTATTGCTTTTGTTTTCTTGGTGTAATTGTAATACTAATATCTAGAAGTTGAAAAGCTGGCTGTAATCGAAATGGATGCTTCCAATGTTTGGAGGGTATTATACAAGAGCAGAAGAGCGGGAGGTTGTGCTTGCGCAAAGTTGCCTCCATGGGCATATTTGAAAATTAGTAAGGCAAAGATGGTTTTAAACGCAGGGAAGAATGTGGTTTGGTTTTATAGGTAAGGGGCTGGCCTTATAAAGTAATAATGCAATGTGTTTGTGATGTGTTATTAGTTGGATATAGCTATTGAGTTGAGGCTATATCTTAGAGCAATTGTGTTCATGTACATTTAATTTATATATTGTAGTAGTGGTGCCCCCCCCTGGTGCCTGTAACTTTATATTTGTTTTCATGATTGCACTTGAACATATATTCGGTAAGAGTTTCAGAATACAAAGGTTTGGAATCAAATCAGAGATGATGATTGGGAGTGACAAGCAGTTGAAGGCTGCCAATAAATATATTTTAGCGGTGGTGGTTAAAAATTCAATAAAATTGAGGGTGAGTGATAGGAGACTTATTCAAATATCACCTTTACCCATTTATCATTATTTATTCAAAAATGTTTCTTAGGAACCTCCCGTAGATCACTATGGAAGTGTCATTTTAGAATTTCAACTTTACCAAGTCATCTGTCATCATGTTTGCTTCTCTTATGAGTTCAAAATCAGCAAATCATATATATTTTGTACAACCTAAGCCAATGTCATAAGCTAGAGGAATATGATTCAACTTAGCCAAATCGATAATAATAACGAGTCTAGTAGTATTGACATTATCGAGCTGCACCTTCACCCGTTCAAATTTAAAGATCATGTTAATTGGAACTCGATAAGAACTCATAACTCGGCGTTAAGAATGGATAAAATTCCTACCATCTTTGTGAAGCATTTTTGATGTTAACAAGGGAGCCTAAGCTTAAAAGGATGAAACAAAAAGAGATTTATATCTTTATCTGGAGAGTGTAATGGTTACTTTGTATTTAATATTTGGTACATTGGACTAATCAAATCAAGCCTTGTTATATGAACCTGATACTGTGGCTTGGACCTGCAATAACAAGTGGCCATGCTTTCCCTTACAAATATTTGTGAAACCTAAGCACAATGAATGAATGATAATTCTACGTCTGAAACTGCAGCTTCAGTAAATCCACAACCACCAAAATCCCATCGCTTCATATATTCTTTCACAGGAAAAAAGGAAACCAAACAGGCAATTGCGGTGGGGTTTAGTGCAGACTCGCGTGGATACCTAATAGGAGATGGTAAGAGCACACAATATTAATTGATGTGAAAAGGGTAGCTAGCCATACACCTGCAAGTGCATGGGGGATGATCCCATCTGTGACAGTGACACAGTACAAGGATGTATACTGTGATCGGCGCACTTCACATTTCCAGTTGCAGTGGGACCGAAAAGTGCATCATTCATAGCATCATTTGAAAAAAAATATATAAAGGCAATGCTTAAACAGCCGACACGTATGCCTACTAGTACGTGTAAAGGATTAAGAAATCCAGATTGCATTATGCTATGATTTTTAGTGATTGTTGGCTTTGTTGTGTTGCTGGGAAGAAAAGAAGTTCATCCCAGCGTGTCATGTGTCAGCATGGATAGGGAACCTTCCTCTCCTTTTCAATGCCCTCAGTGCTCAGTGCTCACCATCACTGCCGAACCAGTTTAATTCAGCCCATGATTGGATACTTTAATTATTACTTTAACATCTTTCATTGCAATTTTACCTAAAATTACCAAAAAAAACCATTATCTACTGAAATAGTATTTTTGACCAATATTTACCAAAATGTTACTTTTTCTAACGGGATGTTTAAGGAAAGATAATCTACAACTAAGGAAATATGTTATCGAAAATATTAATATTTTTTAATATTTTCAGTAAAACGCCACTTAAAATAATATTTTTTCTACTTAAAATATTATTTTTTATCGTAAATTAGGTAGCGAAATTAACATTTATGACAAAAAAAATGTTTTAGGTAGCGCTTTACCGAAAATGTTAAATTTTCTTTAACATTTCCGGTAGCATCGTTCCTTAAGCCGTATATTAAGTTGTCGTACAACAGAACTACCACAACCGAACAACATGACAATAAGACGTAATTTATAAAATGCGCTTTGACGACGTGTCAATCCCACTCAGTAAAAGTACTTTTGTTGTGACCGACCTTTTGGTAGGAAATGTCGGCTATTTACAACATGAGATTGTTGAAATTATTTTTGTGAAAATATAAGAGTTGTCACTAATCATTTTTAAAGTGAGATTGAAACATTTAAAATCTGGTAATTTTAATAAAAACATAATTTATTTTATCAAATACTGATATTTTGGTTTGTGAAATCATAAAACGGGTTTGGAAGTCAGTTACGTGTGAGGAATGATTAACACCTCCACAACGCCCAAAAAATTGGTACCTAATTGATTATCTTATGTTTTAAAATCGAAAATTTTGAGTTTAAAACTTCATTTAATTTAAAACCCACTATGTATGAAAATTTTAAAAAAAATGTTGATTTACTGATATCAATAATGACCACCCCAAGCACTAACGAATGTTTCGTTATCAATCTCAATAAAAGAACATTACCTTAATAATTTAAAAAAATATGATGCAGAGTTTTGAAAATGATGTCTATTTATTCCGGAAATCAATAGTGGTTAACCCTTGGAAAAAGCGAAAATACACTATTAATCCTCTAATAAATGAACATTGTCTTATTTTGAAATTAAAATGTGCAATCAAACAACCTATTATTAGATCTAATTACACTAGGGTTGCGTTTGGTTCGCTAGAATGTTTATGATGGAATTGGAATCTGTGAAGGAATTAGAATCTATCAAGAATTGGAATCCAATTCAATATTCTGTTTGGTTCGCAGACATGTCAGATGAATTTGATTTCAGTAATGTAAAATGACAGGATTGTCCTTCTTGTTTTTTTGCTTAATTTTAGTTTGTTTTATAAATTACATGTAGTAATATATTATAAAAGTTTAAAAAAAATAAATTTTAATTTTATTTATTGATTATTCATTTCAATAAATTATAAAAATCATGCTAATAAACATCATAAGTTAAAATCATCCCAATTAGGGATGGCAATGGGTTGGGTTGGGTTTTTGGTCCACCGACCCGATCCGAGAACAAAGGAACCTCCATCCGAGACCCAACCCGACCAAAATAAAGTTTCACCCGACCCAACCTGAATATATGAATTAGAAACCCGACCCGAAATAATAAAAAAATATTTGTATTCAATAAAAACAGTGACTTAATTGGGAAAAAATATATAGAGGGGTATTATTGTAATTATTCCTAAATATATAAGGTAAAATTATATATTTTTGGGTCGGGTCGGGTCGGGTATTTTTCACCCTAAACCCGACCCGAATATTAAACTTAAAAAAAACCGACGCGACCCGACCAAAATAAAGTTTCACCCGACCCGACCCGAATATATGAATTAGAAATTCGACCCGACCCGAAATAATAAAAAATTATTTTTATTCAATAAAAACAGTGACTTAATTGAAAAAAATTATATATAGAGGGGTATTATTGTAATTATTCCTAAATATATAAGGTAAAATTATATATATTTTTGGGTCGAGTATTTTTCACCCTAAACCCAAACTCGACCCGACCCGACCAAAATAAAGTTTCACCGGACCCGACCCGAATATATGAATTAGAAACCCGACCCGAAATAATAAAAAAATATTTTTATTCAATATATAAATAAGTTACCAAAAGATTAATGAGGGTAGTATGTCAAATTTCAATTCCCTCCAACAAGGGAATTGAATTCCATCCATTCTTGGATGGAATTCACTTTCCCACATTTAATGGAATGTTGAAGCTATGAGGGATTCTAACCCTTGGAAAACTTGAACCAAACATGGAAAAGTGGTGGAATTGGATTCCAATTCCCCCTAATTCTAAGGGATTCATGCGAACCAAACACCACTTAGGTGAATTAATTAAGGTCTCATTCTAACTAAAGTGTTAAATTATGAAATTAAAAGGGACTTAAAAGGTTTGAACTTAAACTATAGACTCTAATATTAATCCTATCCAATTTTAATAAATTATGGAATCGAATAATTAAAATGGAACTTCGGGCATGAAAGCAAAAATCAAATTGAATATTCACCTAATTAAAAAGTTCAGACACTAAATTAAAGAGAACCTAGTCCTAAAGGCCAAATCTAAAATCTAAGTAATCTATAAAGGACTAAATTAAAAGGACAGTAAGTTGCAATCAAAATTAAAAGCAATTAAAAAAATAAGGGACTAAACTGGAATAATTCAAAACACAGAGCTGAAACTAAAATCCATCAAATAAAGGACCAAAATAAAAGAAAACAGAAAGTAAAGCTTATATTAAGAAAATATAGAAAATTTAAAAAAAATTGAATTTAGAGGACGAAATGTAAATATTGTAAACTAAAGAACTAAAATTAAAGAGAGAGAGAAATGTAAATAATAGAAATGTAAATTGAATAAAACTGAAGGCCGACGATAAATATGAAATAAAAAAGTAGTCCACTTTTGTGGCTGAAAACTAAATTTAACTGAAACAGCACGAAAGTCAATGCTGTTTGGCAAATTGTAAATGTGATGTAGGTTACGTGGCTGCCAATGAACATGTAGATTTGGAGAAATTAATGAAACAGATAATATAATTATAAGATATTTTCTGTCAATTAATAATATTTAAATATTATGTATATACACGTTCTCAAACTAATGACTTTTAAAAAAAATAATATTCTTTTTTATTATTAAACTATTTAATGGGTTTTAAATTTCAATAAACTAAATTGATTATTTTAATCTAATCGAATTATTTTGTTGTTATTTTTTTCTGAATAATATAGAACAAATTTTAACCAAATATAGTTAATTGTTTTGAAATTGATTCAATATAAAGTTTGAAGACGACTCTAATCCGTCTCCTCAATTGATCTACCACGGCTAGACTTTAAAGGCTACCTTATTTTGTTCTTTCCCACATAGATTGGGTATAAAGTCTGAAGACGACTCTAATCCGTCTCCTCCATTGATCTACTACGGCTAGACTTTACAGGTTACCTTATTTTGTTCTTTCCCACATAGATTGGGTATAAAGTCTGAAGACGACTCTAATCTGTCTCCTCCATTGATCTACTACGGCTAGACTTTATAGGGTATCTTATTTTGTTCTCTCCCACATAGATTGGGTATAAAGTCTGAAGACGACTCTAATCCATCTCCTCAATTGATCCACCACCTCTAGACTTTATAGGGTACCTTATTTTGTTCTTTCCCATATAGATTGGGAAGATTTTGGAGCTTTAATTATGTTGACATGATGGTGATATAATCACGAAGGGAAGGACCTCACGTTCATTGTTGGAAATTAAATAGATTTTCAATTCCTCCCAAAAAATAATAAAGAAATTATAACACGTGTTTTGTAAGAAAATAATATTAACTTAGGGGCTGTTTGTTTGGCTTTAAATGAAACTATTCAACGTTGAATGTTGAATCGTTCAATATTTAGCGTGTTTGTTTCTCTCCTCTTAATGATTCAGTGCTGACTGATTCAACAAAACAATGTTAAATGATTCAGCATCAAAGTACATTCTGAATGATTCAGAGCCATTATCAAATAGCATGTCACATTCAGAGCTAATTCATACAGAGCCTCTGAATCATTCAGCGCTTAATCATTCTGAAGTAAACAAACAACCCCTTAATCAGACAAACTAGGCTTAAATACTTTTTACTTAAATGGTAGGAAACTAGGCATAGTTGAAACTATTAAGTAAGGCCTTAAATTTTGAGATAAATTGGATGATTGATCATTTTCGTTTAAATTTTATACATTTTCTTCATTAGATTTAAAAAATATATAAATATTAGATCGTTTTTATTTTTATTTAATTAAGATGTGGTTATGTTCATTTTTATTTAATGGCTTACTATATAAATAAGTGTCAAAATTATACATCGAAATACAATTTGGTTTGTAAAGAATTTTTCGCTAATAAAAGATGTATAACATTTTTTTGTTACCATTTTAGGTGCTCAGGCGTTAACCACCATTAAAAACTCCGTTAAGTGGCATGTGTCACGTTTTGATAATTTTAAGAATTTATTTAAAAAATAAAAAATAAAAATATTTTTTATTTAAAAAAAGCTCGTGTTCTCCTTCTCCTTCTCCTTCTCCTTCTCCCTCCCCCTTCTCCCTTCTCCCCCTTTAACCTTCTCAAACAGCCAAAGGCTGACTACCATAATTGACCTACATATCTGATTAAATGATCGATTATCACTGTTGGGATTTTCAATGAAGCTCAAATGAACAACCAAATAATTTGTCAAGAGGGGTGAAGTGATTTTGAGAAAAATTTAGGGATTAAGGAGATTTAAGGATGATAAAATTGATGCACAAAGATTTATAGTAGTTCGACATTTTTAATCAAAGTCTACATCCACTACCTTAGCTCATCACCAAGTATTTTCTAACAAATTCACTAATTTGTTCTTTCTTTTTGTATGATAAAGAGATAACCTTTATAAATCCTTCTGTTTTTACTTGGCTAAGATAAAACTCTCCCCTTTTACAAATGAATAAAATGTGTAAACAAGAAGACCTCTATAGGTTAGTGTTTACAAATATTTAGCCCACAAAAACAAAACCTAAAGATATACAATTAAGCTCAAAACACAAATATTTACAAGAGAAATAAAAAATAATGAATGAACAACTTTTCTCTTGTGTGTGAATGCTTGAATAGGTGTTGGTAACCTTCTTCAAGTGTCTTGAACTTGTATTTATATGTTGTAATAAGTTTGTAGCGTTGGGAGTGTTTTGGAACCGTTGGGGATGAAATTCCTGCAAAATAAAAATGCAGAGGACAGGGGCTATCAATACTCATTTAATGAGTATCGGTACTACCTTTGTAATTTTTAAATAAAACTAGCCGTTGAAAACCATTGGGCTTGAAAGTATTGATACTATGATCATGGTATTGATACTACTGTGTAAAGTAGTATCGGTACCCCTTTGGATATCAGTACCTATTTTGTATTCTGAAATTTGATCAATTTGGAAAACACTTGGCGGTATCAATACTACTTAGATTGTATTGATACTTCTCTTACCTTTGGTATCGGTACAACATAAATAGTATCGATATTGTTCATGTAGTATCGATACTGTAAGAAGAGTATCGGTACTACGTACGTGAAAAACTGTTATTGCTCAAATTTTAGTTTAATGGCCTTTGAATTATTTTTGAAAACTTTGAATAAATTCAATCAAGTCCAAAAAACATTTTCCCTTAATTTGTTATATCAAAATATTATAAAACATAGTTCAACAATCATGATCGGTCTAAGGGATTTTTAGTGATTCAAAACCCTAAAATAAAATATTTCATTTACTCCATTTTGGGGTGTTCTACCAGTTACGAAAGTATATGGGTTTTGGTCATGGGTGGTTGTCTAGTCACACGTCGTTAGGTGTTTGACCGATTGATAGCGTTGGTGCGACTTGCGGTGGCAAAGAGATTAAAATTAAGGTTTTAAAAGTTTTATTTTTTAAAAAGATTTGAAAAAAATAGTTTTTTTAAAAAAAATTTTTTTTATTTTAAATAAAATTACCAAAATTACCAAAACGTGACATGTGTCACTTAAAGGAGATTTTTAATTGCTGTTAATGCCCGAACACCTAAAATAGTAACAAAGAAAATATTAGGAACTTATTATTAGCGAAAAAAATTTAGACACCAAATTGTATTTCGAAGTATAGTTTGAACACTTATTTTTGTATTAAGCTTTGTTTAATTAAGACGTGGTCACTTACCTTATTGACTCTTAAATGTTTAGTCAATTGAAATTTTGATTATCGTTAATGAGAAGTCAAATAAAAGTAATAACGTCTTAATCAAATAAAAAAATCAAATAATATATTTTTAAAATTTAATGAAAAATTATATAAAACTAAAATAAAAGTAATCAATCATGTAATTTATCTTAAATTTTAATATTACTTGTTCAGACATGTCACGTGTCAAATATTTCTATTTCACTTTTAATATCATAATTGTTATTAATTAAAAAATCCATGCATGATTTAAATAAGGTGAGAATAGAATTTAGATACTAACAAAAATTAAAATAGCTAACTTTTTAAAAACATGTCAAAATTAAAGATAAAAATTTGTTGAATGAGGTTAAACCTTTTATTAATTTAAATTCGATCTAAGTATTATATTTCTTCATCTGTCACTCAAATTTAATTCATGTTTAGTGAAATTTTATCCGATTCGAAACCCAATCTAATTTTCTAAATAAAAATTTATACCTAAGTTGGCTTGGTCAGATATATAAATACACACACACATATATATAAGTTATCATTTTATTAGAAAAATAGAGATCTAATTGGAAAAAAAAACCATAGAGAGTGATATTATTGTAATTATCTTTAAACATATAAGGACTAATTATACTATTATCTTAGGTTAATTCGAACCAAATATTTTTTTACTCTAAATTCGAATTCTACCTTAACCTTAAAAAATCTTACCCAAATTTAAATTTTCTCAAAAAAATCAATCTTTTAAAATCATTTTTGATTGAAACTTGGAATCAAAGTCATATATACTCCCCAATAAAAACCTAAATTTTTGTTATTAATAGTGATATATGGTAAAGAGTTAAATTTTAAAAATTAATAAAAGACTTGTAATTTTTTATTTTAATGAATTGAGAGTTAATTGTATCACATAAGTATGATTTTTATTTTAAATTGGTCCTAAACTTTTAAATATTTTAATTTCATCCCTTAATTATGACTATAATACTAAATTAGTCCTCAAAATTTTGAATATTTCAATTTCATCCCTAAATTATGACCTTCATTCTAAATTGATCCCCAAACTTTTTGAACATTCCAATTTCATCCCAAACTATATGTATATACTAATCACATCCCTTGTTAATAAAATCATTAGGTGAAGTTATATTAATATATGCTTGAGAAAAACAAATTTTAGGTTAAATTATGATTGAAACTAATTACATATTTGGATGAATTTGTGGTAAAAATTGGGATATTAAAAAGTTTGGGGACTAATTTAGAAAGAGGATCGTAGGTTAGAGATGAAATTAGAATGTTCAAAAGTTTAAGGAGTTTAGGGATAAAATTGAAATATCCAAAAATTTAAGGACCAATTTAAAATAAAGATTCTAATTTAGGGACATATGATACAATTAAATAGTGAATTAATGCACTTGACTTAGCATGTAGATAAATAAAGAGAGAGAAAATGTAGGAAGCAGTGAATAAAGGTGGTTTTGGGAGAAGACAGGCTGAGTTAAAACATAAGGGGGGCTGTGTCCTGTGTGCCTGGTAATGGTATTTTTCAGTTAAAAGAACGGATGTGGAGATAAAGCCTATCCACTCCCTTAACTTAACACCGCCTGCCTGCCTGAAATAAAGTCTCCCTCTTTCATCGTCTTTCAACTTAATCTCAGCCCCCCCGGGGAAACTCCTTTGTCTTCACTTTCTCCTCCTTTCCCTTCTTCCTCATCCTTTCTGTATTGATTTTGTGTTTCTGCAATAATACAAGCTAGTGGGTTCAAGAAATCAGTTTCTCAGCAGAGAGGTTGATGGGTTCGGGAGAAACAAAAAGCTCAACAGGCTATGGCAGTCCACCGTGGATTTTCAAAGGCAGGTAAAGTGTTTCAGTCCTTGTAAAACAAAAAATGTAAGAAGCTTTCCATTCCTGTTATTTGGTTCTTGAATTATGTGAATTTCATCTGTCTCCAGTGCCTTGTATCAACTCCATCTTGTGAAAGCTGAAACCGCTAGAGCATTCATCCCAAAGAAGCTCCGCCTGGTTGAAGCTTTTGGGTAGTCTTATTTTTACCTGGTTAACTAACTCTATGGGGGTTGATTGTGTGCGTTTTTTTCCCCCACCAATTAATCAAACGCATGCACAATGCAGGTACACATTGGGTGGTTTTTTCCTCGCCAACTACGATCACAGCCCTGCCGGCGTCTTTGATGAGGTTCCATAACACTCTCATTTTCAACCAGTTTCTCCTAATTTCATAAGCTCATTGCTCTGTGCCTAGGAAGTCGGTTGTTCGCTTGTAGTATTAGAGATAATATTATTATCCTGTACAAAACATGAAGTAACAGTTAAAAGTGATCACATATCAACTGTTTCTTTGCCAGCTTGTGGTGATCGCAGGGATCGTGTGGAATCCGCCGACTTCTTGCGCGTATGTTTTCTGCACTCTTTGGTTGGGACTGATTAAAAGCGTAGTTCATTGTGTATCATGTATGGAGAAAATGCATCATCCAGTGAATTCCATGGCCCTACTTTGAGTATTCATGTATCAATTTGCCTAAGGTTTGAACTGAGCTTAGCCAAAACCAATTGGATACGGAAATTAGGTGGTGGCCCACCACTCATATTGGTTTAACTTTATCACCAATCATGTTGGCCGGTCAACTTTTATAACTTGAATGTCTTGGTACTTTTTTTATTTTAATTATGCAGCCATTTTATTTGTTCATGCTGAAAAAGGGAATCATTCAGTGTTGTTAGTCACATTTGCTATATGCTTCCTCGAGTGGCATAAGCAAGTTGCAATTTTTTAGAAGGAAGCCTGTCAGATTCATGCATTTCCTTGTTTCCTCTCATCGTTTCATGCAAGCCTTGTCTTATGTGTATCCTTCTTCTATTTCCTTTCTGTATTTGAACTAATTGCATATTCTTCTTTTTTGTTTTCCTTATTCAAATTTGAGCAGATGGGCAGCCAGGGTTCTTGTAAACAGTGAAGAAGCTTGTCACCATGGACGGAAGGTAAGACATTGAAGTTTTAGACTAAGATGGTCTTCTTACCAACTTAAAAGAGATACCTGGCCAAATTTACTGTATATAACTTTAATTCTATCTCTACACCTCCAACATACAAGTTGATCTTCACTCTTGCATCTCCAATGGTTCGACATATGACTGTTGCATATGCAGAGCTCCTGCTACACCCAGTGAACAAGATGCATTTTTAAAGTAACTGATGCCATAATTCCTTTACTTGTACTAATTGAAGTTTGAACTTGCATCGGTGTTTTTTGTTTCTATTTTCCGTTGTGGCAGGATGTAGGGCTTCCAAGTCAGGTAGCCAGATTTTCAAAGGTACTCCTCGTCCTACCCGATTGACAGTATCTCTGGCACAATTCTCTTTTATATAAGATCGGTCTAAAAATGTATAGCACCATACAGATTTTGTGAGAGTTCATGTATCAACTTCATTGCTATTTTATTAATTAGGATCAAGGATGCTTCTAAAAATTCATTTTGCTCCGCAGTTGTTCCCTTTTTCATATGTTGCTAGGGCACAGGCAATACAATGAATGTGGAAAGATAGACCTTTTCATGTTTATTTTCGTTTTGTGATTCATATTTTATACGTTATTTTTTTGAAACAGAGAATTACACCAGTTCCTAGACAAACAAAGGACAGAATTGGTGGCTTTCTAAACATGATTGGTGTGAGTTCTACAAGCCGCCCCTCTAAAGACTGTATGGACGTTCAGGTGACGGAAGTTTTGGGTCCCACTTCATCGGATATCTGTAATATCAAACTTATAACTGATGGTGAGTTCATACTCACCGTACTGATGTGAATCATGTGATGACTTCTCATACCTCTTCATGCCATGCTGTACAATGATGCATCTGAAAGAAAAAAAAACAAAGCTTTAGGCTAGTTAGTCAAGCACTTTTTGATAGGCTAGAATTAACTTCTTGGGCAATGCAATATTATGTTATTAGTTCTGAGTTTTCCTTTATGGTTAAGCTGTGTTTTGCTTGATGTAATGGCCATCCTAGTTCCTTGGCATTATCCATTATCCCAAGTGAAGCATCGCTTTATCGCTTGCGTGAATTAAATTACTGCAAATTGTGCTTAAATACACCTGATGGTCATGATCATGATATCTTCTCTTTGCTTCTGGCATTAATACTTATTTTTTTATGGTAAAATCTTGGTGATTTCAGTGCCTACTCCGAAATTCAAAAAATGGATGGGTCCATCGATCAGAATGTCACTTCCAAGCTTTAGGTAATCTTCTACATGATTTATATTTCACTAATTGAAGTAGATGTTAATTTAATTGTTGTGAAATTATAGTGGCCAAACAGAGTATAACCCCAACCTTTTGAAGTATGCATGTCGCCTTGCCTGCAGGTATGATTATATTTGCTGCAGTAATGAACTTTGCATTATGGTCATTAGTGCCCAAATGTTTGTCAAATCTTAACGGTGTCGACATGAAGTAATTTGTGAATATTTGACATGATAGAGTACGAGCGGTGCGACCAGCAAAAATATCAGGGCCATCACCATTAAAGAAGGAAAGAAATGTTGATTCAGAAAGCGGAGAGTATACAGCTGAGGACGCGGCAGATAACGGAAGAAACCTCAGCATATCGGTTATGTTATCGAAGCCTATACTAGCTTTGGAGTTCAATTGCTTGGAAATGCAAGTTGAAGCTCCCACCATGCTATCCACCAACTCTACAAGCTCTTTACCAGCTGCTTGACCATCACCCCCATTGTGCTCTTTTTTTTCTTCTTGCTATCACATCAACGTAATAAGATTCTAGACTCCAGAAAGATTCCATTAAGGCATAAACCAGGGTTTATATATATACATACACAAACACACATATACGTATGTCCTTTACTTGACACAGTCGAGAGATCTACAAAAATGTTACAGCATTTAAGTGATAAGAAACCAAGGAACAAACAAACAAATGCAATCTTCAGTTTTTCGGACTCAGCAACCGAACTTACAATCTATATCCGTTGAGAAGATCAGAATGCTTCTGGCAATGGCCGACCGTCCAGAAACGCCTTGAACAGAACTAGTGATCTCTCGGGCTGCGAGAATGGAGCTTCATGAGATGCTCCTCTAATTGTGGCAAAAGATAGGAAATTACCATAAACCTATACACCATTTACCTATACACCATGAAAGAAAATATTCGGAGGAACATGAAAGAAAGCTTTCACAGAGGACCATTTACCTATACACCATGACCGGGATTCCTGCCTTCACGATTCTGCCAACAATGGTGACCGTCGGTATCTCAATATCGAGCAGTTCATAGTCTAGGACACTGAAGGGAAAATAACAAGGAAGATATATGAACACACAATCTCAAATCCAAATAAACAAGGTAAATCTTGGATATGAATTCTGCAGAAGAGAATTACTTGCTGCAAACATTCCATTTACGGACTCCGACAAGACGAGCATGGAGAGCCTTCTGCACATCTTGCCTGTTTAAGTAATTTACAGTTTCATCTTCTACACAAACATCTATTGTGTCACCAACTTGCTGTTTGGACAAAGAAACCAAGTTAGAAACAAGTAGCAAGGATTAGAACTAGATCATTAGTTAAAGACATTTTGAGTTTACGAAAATTATAAAATCGAACTCACTTGGGGAGTAAGGATTTTGGACTGCGAGAGCACGGATGATATACAGACATCAAGGGTAACATCATACTTGTCGACGAATTGACTGGTTTCGATACTGACTTGACTCATCACCCTCGAACAAATCGGAGAAACATTCCCTCGATAATACTCGCTGACATATCTCGAGTAATTACAAGAAGTGGTGAACAGTTTGTATGTCGAATCCGATATTAGTCCATGAGACCAGAAGAATTCAGCCCTCGAATTAAAATCAATAGCAAATTCTAAAACAGGATTACCAAGCTGCAATCAAGTGGAACAAACAGGAATAGATATTAAATAGAAAATAAAAAAAAAAGACACCAGAAAAAGTACTGAAATTTCTTTGCAGAACTACTTACAGCTATTCCTTTCAAATTGAACAACTTTTCCTTCTTATTAAACTGAATTATAAGTTCTGCCAGCTGCGGTATATAATGACCTGGTTTTAGACATGACAATAAGAAAAAACGAACTCAGTGATGAGTCACATTTCACAGTGAAAGAAACAGTAATAATATTTTACAGTGAAGCAAAATGATACCAGCATAGCTTTCCCCTGTAATGAAGAGGCTTCTATTCCTGTAGTGGGGGAATTTGAGGAACCAATTTTGCAAAAACACCAGATTGTCCCTAGCTACATCAACGAAGAGAAAGTTTGAAAGATTGAACTTTTTTAAGACAAGGAGAGAAAGAAGAAAAAGAAGAAGAAGAAGCAAAACAAGAACAGTGAACAATGAACATTGCATTACTAAAACATTAAGAAAATGGGGTTTAGAATGGAGAGTTTTACCAGTGATTTTGTCATTAACAGACTCAGAAGAGGAGTCGTCTACAGAATAAGAGAAACCAACTCCAATTGGGGCCTCCAGATACAACATATTGGCCTCTGCAAAAACAATGAGTTTGCTAAGCAATCAACTTGCGCAGGTGTTTATAAGATTAAAAAAGGCCAACAACAATAACATGCAACAATTAAGAAAGATTCACTCGCGCGCGGTATCAATAACTTAGAAAGATGTATTCCTCTGTTCCAGCTATTAAAAAAACCAGACTAGAAACATATACTACTTGTAATCAACCAGACTATTAAAAAAATGTATACCTCTGTTCCAGCTATATTCGTTCTTGACCAGCACTTTCCCACTAGGCCTAAACGGTCCATTCTCAGAAAATGCTCCGACTCCCAGTGAAGAGCATCCAGGCCCTGTAATTTTTACAACAGGGAAACTTGTAAAAAAACGTAAAAGATGCATCATTTTTGTAGCCTGAGAATGAGATATTGAAGAAACCTCCATTGAGCCAGAGGACAAGAGGCTTGGAAGCTGGATCCATTTCAGCTTCTGCAAAATAGTAAAACAAAGCTCTCTGTTTCTTCCCATCAATGCTCACATAGCCCGAGTACTGTTGGAACTCGACTTCCGGTTGACCCGGTAATCCAGATATCCGATCAAACAGACCCGGAAAACACTCGACTTGGTCAGAAAACAAAACCTCAAGTAGAATTAGTCCCAATGCCACTGATCTCCAGCCTAAACAATTCATGGTGTATTCTTCTCGTTCTCGGATAAGACTACAGAGAAAATAAAAAGATTGACCAAAAAGGAAAACTCAGAGTGAGAAAGGGAGAGGAGAAGAGGAAGAAGAAAAGTGAGTTAAACGACAATGCTTGCCTAGTGGAGTTGGATTTTATAAAGAGGGTTGGTGTTGTTTTGTTACTATTCTATTACATTTATTTGTATAATAATGATAAAAACTAAAAAGAAGTGTAGTTGTAGTGTTTAGGAGCTGAAACAGATGCTTGTTGGGTAGATTTTTGGTTCACTTTCTCTTAACTTGGAGAATCGGCTTGCTGGAGTTAATGGTGAACAGAACGACAGTAATGCGGCTAACAGGGAAAAGGAGGGGTTGTGATTTTTAAAGCTCCACTGCTTTTTGCTTTATTGTGTTAGAATTTGGAAGTAGTAACTATTTTTTTTTTGGTAAATTATATAGTTCTTTATTTAACTATACTCTCTCTCCTATTTTTTCGTCCAACTTTTACTTTTTCTATTTTGTTCACTGAACTTTACAAATTAAATCATTTTGCTCATTGTGCCGTTAATTATTTAACGGCATTATGATATGACACAAGCATCAAAACGAATTGGTTCTGAAAACTCAAATATACATCAAAACAACGACATTTCGAATCCTATATTGAAAGTTCGATGAGTAAAATAGGAGAAGGAGTAAAGTTCAGTGAGGAATTGTGTAATTTACCTTTTTTATTTTCTTCTTCATTTTCTCTCTGCCGACTACCAGCTATTTTTTATTCCGACCACCTTCCACCGTTATTGATGGTGGTTGTTCGGTCCTAAATTTCATGAGTCGATTCATCTTGACCCCTAAGTCTAAATCTGGTAGTTGTTTCACCAGAAAATATACCAAAACACTTGGATCTCTACTGAAACATTTTGACTCCCTCATTTTTAATCTCAAATTCGTGGACCCTGAAGTAAGCTTTGACAAAATAGAGGTCGGATTCAAAATCACGATATCAAGGCGAATAGACTCATGAAATTTGGGATTGAACGACCACCATCTATGGTGATCGACGGTGGCATCCGACCACATTCTAATTTTTTGTTATTTTCTCAATTATTTTATATTAAAAAAGATTGCCACATCTTCAAAACTTTAGAGAGTTAATGTGAGAAAGAGCAAAATGATTAAATCTGTAAGTTCAATGAGCAAAATAGAAAAATTAAAAGTTAGGTTAGGAAAATAGGAGATATATCATAGTTCGGTGAGGAACGGTGTAATTTACCCTTTTTGGGGGGTAAACTACGTGTTTACTATCTAAACTATTAATTTTAGAATGTTTTAAAACCTAAACTTTTATTTTTTTCAAAATCATACATAACGTTTAGTTTTTGTTTCATTTTAGTACCGCCATTAGAAATTTAATTGTGTTTAGTACCTAAACTATTAGTTTTGGTCCGTTTAGTACCTAAACTTATAATTTTTTTCAAAACTTAACGTTAAGTTTTTAACGAATACTAAAATGAAACAAAAACTAAACATTAAGTATGATTTTGAAAAATTAAAAGTTTAAGTAATAAAACTTGCCAAAATTGATAATTTAGACACTAAACGCGTAGTTTATCTTTTTTTGACTTAGAATATAGAAATACTTCTTTCACTAGTCTAGTGTTAAAGTATAATGGTAGTATGGTACAATATTTTTTTTATAAAAATCCGCAAGTTTTATTAAAAATAGAAAATATGTAGAATTACAATGAAGATTTACAAGCATAACCGTAAATATAAACTAAATTATAATTAGGACATTTTCCTATAACCATTGACAGTAAAACTAGTCACTTAGATTACACAATGACAAAAAAAAGATTAAAAAAATCTAAACAATGATTGAACAAAATAAAGATATGAACAAATTTGATTACATCGGTAAACGAACCACAAAAGGGGATGAAGTTACTGAAAACCATCGAAAAATTGCAAATTTGAGTCGAGCGACATGAAAAAACTATCCATGAACTCAAAACGCGTATCCAAATCAATATGAGGGTCTAAAGTAGGGAAGATCAACATGAAACAAATAATCGTCATCTTGATTAGTCGTGGCGATATCAAATTCAACCCTGAGAAAAAAGATAATCGAAAATAACGACAAAAAAAACCGTAAGCTACCAAAAGACAGAGAAAAACGTGTCACAAAGAAAAAGATAAATGTACCATAAAGACATAAATATTCTTATTAAAAAATTTAAAAAAAATAAAGAAAAAAGATAATCGGTCGGCAGCAACCAACATCAAAATCAGTGTCGCCGCAGGTTAAATAAAATTAAAAAAAGAAAAAGTTGGATTGATCAATAAAATTGACACAAGTTAAAAAAAAGAAAAAAAGGGACGATAGAGGAGGAAGAACGGACCTGTAAATGATCCGAACGTTCAACGAACTATTCATGAACCGTTAGGCTGGAAGTTCGTTTATTTACTAAACGAACAAACATGAACAAGATTTTGTGTTCGTTTAATTAAATGAACGAACATGAATAGAGAGCTCGTTCATTCATTTACGTTCGTGAACGTTCGGTAATATGTTTATTCATTTATGTACATTCGTTTATGTTCATTCGTTTATGTTCATTTATGTTCGTTTATTTTCGTTCGTTTATGTCCGTTTATTTATGTTTAGGCCAATCTCTCTAGTCTCATTTAAAATATTAAGGCCCAATAAATTTTAATTTGATATATATTAATATTTAAAATTTAATCAATTTTAAATTCAAATAAAAATATCCAAAAAATTAAATAAAATATAATCCTAAAATTGTTAAGAAAGAAGAAAAAAATATATTTTCAAATTTCAATCTCATAGCTCACGCCTCACGTTATTTGATCTTTGTCCACTGCTGTCTAGTGCTCTTCACTGAATCACCGAAGATGATTCGGTCGGAGCCTCAGAATAAATCTTTTTCAAGACCTCGAGATCTTGTTGTAAAATAAATTCATTTATGTTTGTTTGTTTTGTTAATTTATGTTCGTTTACGTTTGTTTATGTTCGTTAACCATCGTTCGTTTGTGTTCGTTTCTATTCGTTTACATCCATTCGTTTATGTTCGTTTACATTCGTTCGTTTATGTTTGTTCATTTGTTTTCGTTTATCATTTAAATGAACGAACACGAACAAACTACATTCCTTAACGAATGAACATGAACAAGAAATTTTTTGTTAATTTATGTTCGTATTTGTTCGGTTAAAATTAAACTAACGAACATGAACATATCTCCATTGTGTTCGTTTACATGCCTAACTGGAAGAAGAAATCCGCTCAATATATTATACTTTGAAGGAAGGAATTTACGAAAATTGAACATGAAAATAGATACAGTAAGTCAAACTGTCAAAGAACACTTTGTTCTTCTTATGTTACTATCAGTTTTAATTTAGTAGCATTATAGATATATTGTGTTGTTACAGGGAAAATAACATTTTTTTTACTCAAAAAATACTCTTATTTAAATTATTTACAAATTATGTTGCATTACAGGAAGCGTCTTTTACATACAACATGTTGGATTAATAAGATGAATGTTTTCATTAGTAAGAAGAGAGACACGAGTGATTAAGCACACTTTTTATAGGTTTAAAATGATAGAAGACATGTTTTTTGACTGCGTCTTTGGAAGATTTTATGTTGATTAGATTATTTCAGCACAAATCTAACAGATTTTTGGTGAATCTGAACAGTGCTTTTTAGTCTTTAAAAGATTTTCTATGGATTGTATTAATTATCTAAGCTACCCTCAACTGGAATTACCGTATAGCTCTATTTGTCCTACTACAGTATTTCCTTTCCTTTCTAGGTCGAAACGAAAAGTTTAACCCGGCCACCATTCCCACAGCACCGATGAAATTCAACTCAAAAGCACGGGTCACTGACCTGAAGTGAAAGCACAGAGAACACCAAGCTTGGGAAAATGGAGCATAAAGCTCACGCCTTTGTGGGTGGTGTTGGACTCAGCCGAGCCAAAGCTTAGTTTAATTTCCATCATTTTGGTTCTTCCCTTAATTTTTTGGAGTTTTTCTTTTCCTCTTTTCCTCTGTTTTGAAAACCGGACCGGACCGGCCGGTTCAACCGGAAATCGTTACTTAGTCCGGTTCAATCTAAATCGGTTGAACCGCTATTAGTGAACCGGTCAGAATCGCTGAACCGTTCGAACCGGACCGGCTGAAAACCGAAAAAATTGGGATTTTTGTTTTTTTTATTTAAAAAAATTAAACCAAACAACGTCGTTTGTTAAACGAGCCAAGTCGAACTCGAGTATTGCTGAGCTCGACTCGAACTTGAAAACTTTAAAAATAAGCTCAACTTAACTCAAACTCACAAGCTAAAAATTATCAAGTTCAACTCAAACTCGAAATATAATATTGAAACTTGAACTCAAAAAGGCTTGAACTCAAATAAAAATTAGAAGCTCGATTGAAGCCTAAAATTCGAGCTAGTTCACTCAATGCTCACCAAAAGGCTCCATGATTTTGAATGCCAAATTACCTCTATTATTTATAGAAGTTAGTTGTGATGCGCTTCTATGTTTCTTAGCAATGTGAGATTATTTTATTCTCATATTTTCTCTTTAGACTTTTGGGATGCTCTTCTATGTTTCTTAACCATGTGAGATTGTTTTAAAAAAAAATTAAACCAAACAAAATCATTTTGTTATGATTTTTTTAACCCCAAATTAATTTTTTAATTATAGTTATATAATTATATTTATTATTTAATATGTTTTACCTTAAATATTATGTTGTAGTTAATTTGAATCATTTTGTTTCACTTAATTTTATGGTTTTTAACTTATATATGTTATGACTTGCTTTGAATATGACTTGTGATATAAAAAATTATTTTTTATTAAATATTTTTATTTAATTTTTTAAATAATTATGACGTCGTCCGGTTCTTCCAACCGATTGAATCAATGAACCGATAACATGATCGATTCGTTAACTAGTCCGATTCTAAAAACCATGCTCTTTTCTCCCAACATACAGAGAAATAAGACCCCACAAGACAAATATAAATTTTAAAATATTCCTTGAGTCATAGTTTTTGATCATTCTGCCCCCCCCCCCCCAAATTCCTTTTGCTTTTCGATCTGTTGTAATCACTCGATGGTGTACCTTTGAAAAAGGGCTTTTTGGATGAATATAACATCTGATCTACCATTCAAAAGGCCATTCCCAGCCCCAAGCTTAACTATATTTATGGATGCAATAGTTGAAGTAAGCTATTTGCAGCAGAATGGACAAAACATTTAGGCTTAGTTTGTTTTTTAGAAGACAGAAGCTCTTTAAATATCTGCGCGAGCTTTTTTTGGTGCAGACATAATTTGCGAGAAAATTAAAATCATTTAAATCTATTTTAAAATTTATTTTAAAATATATATTGATTTATTTTAAAATATGGAAAAAAATATTTTAAAATATGAAAAATTTTATTTTAAAATATGGATTGATTTATTTTAAAATATGGATTGATTTATTTTAAAATATGTAAAATTTTATTTTAAAATATGGATTGATTTATTTTAAAATATGGAAAATTTTATTTTAAAATTTGGATTGATTTATTTTAAAATATGGAAAATTTTATTTTAAAATATGGATTGATTTATTTTAAAATATGGATTAATTTATTTTAAAATATGGATTGATTTATTTTAAAATATGAAAAAATTTATTTTAAAATATGGATTGATTTATTTTAAAATATGGATTAATTTATTTTAAAATATGAAACATTTTATTTTAAAATATGGATTGACTTATTTTAAAATAAAATTTCCATATTTTATTTTAAAATATGAATTGATTTATTTTAAAAAATTTATTATTGTAGTTGTATGAATTATTTAAATTTCAGTATTATAAAACTAAAATTATTTAAATTTCAGTATTGTAAAACTCTTTTAAGTTTAAAAAATCAGTTTATTTTATATTTTAGTTTATTTTAGCAGTATGCAGACGTTAAAAAACAAACAGTCTTCTTCTTACAGACTGCAGACTTTCGGTCCACCTCTTATACTGTAGATGTCTGCAGATGTGGTCCACAGACTGCAGACCTTTTATCTCTTCAAAAACAAACACCACCTTACACATGAAACAATTGCAGCTGGTTTTGTTATAAACATCAACCTTGTTTCAAGTAACAGACACGACCGCTTAAGTAAAAATACGAGTGTTGGACTTATTGGTCATTGGGTTTACTATTCTAAGGCAAAGCAAGTCCCCCAACCAACCCCTATTTTAACAGAAGGAAAAAAAGTGAGAAACTGTTGATACGAGGGCATGGGAATAGGTCAAAGAAAAATTCAACCTTCCAAAAATTGAAACTTGTAGGTGTCTTTATCTTCTTTCCCCATGCGCACAAAAAGAAAGAACCTTTTTGCTGGGGCTCACTAATAAATTCTAGTGCACATGACCATCAAGGCAGGCCGGGGTAACGGTGGGGCACCCATATCGACCCACCTCCTTCCAAGAATACCGGTATATGGTGGTGATAGGCATGTAAATTAACCGATCGTGAACCGTTCGACGAAAAATTCATTTATTTATTAGATTTTGTAATCTCAGAGTGATAAGTTTTAATAAAAGGTATATTTTACTAGAACTAGTTATGCTCATGTGACAAGTTTCAAATCACTATATCAAATGCAGTATTGGGTCAATTTTACCAAAAATGCCACTATATATGATAATAATGATGAAACGCAAGCCCAACAAAAACTCCAAGCCATCAAATCACTGGGCTTGTGCTACGGTCCAATAGAAATTCTATACAAAAGCATCGGTTCATACATTATTACGAAAATTATATATCTACATTATTTTCTATATTATATTGAGACCCTAATAGGTTGAATATTTGTATATTTTAGTGTTTAAATTTATTTTATTCAAATATTAACTCATTTCGTAAATTTAAATATTAAAATACAAATTAAAATTTTAAATAAATAATTATTCGTTATGATATTCTAATAAATTCAAATTTCAACCTTCCTAATTATTTCTATTTGATTTCATAAACCTTCCCAGGAATATCCTCTTTGATCTTGAAACTGAGTCTTCTTGGTAACTTCGTAGGTCGCAAAAAACAAATACAATTTGCTTACGCTACTCGCCCTTTAAAAAAAACACCATTGCAGGGCACCTCTCGAACTATTTTCTCCATCAATTAGAGGCATTTTATAAGGAAAAAATTATGGGTTTGCACACCTTAAGTAAGAATGATACATGACATCAGAGTGGGAGATTAATGGAATTAGGGTTTCTGGCGTAATGCAAAACCATGAGATGATCAGCTGTTGAGGTATGCGGAAGCAAAGTCACAGCGTCCCTTGGACTCCAAATTTCATCTCTTACTTGGTGCAACGTCAGGAAAGGCTCGAGCTGTTGCCCTTTGCATCTTATCTCTACCTGCTTTTCACCATCAACCCGTTTACTATATTCAATGTAAATGTGATAGCTAAATATAAAAGGAAATTAAAAGGAAAGCTCAAATTCTTTCCTTAGTCCATGTACTCTACATAAGTTATAGATTTAGACTCCAAACCCTATTTTGGTTAATTTTTATACCTCTAATACTTTTCGATTTACTCAAACGTTATATGGATAATATGACTAGGGAAGGTCATCTCACCCGGATTTAATGGGTTCTCACCCAACACAACTCAATTGGGTTGTTTTTTTTCTTCTTTGAAGGGTGAGATCGAACTAAGTTTGAATTTATAGTGAAAAAACCCAACCCGACATGATATTATAGAGTAATTGTCACTTACATACTTCGAGATAATTACAATAATATTTCTATATATTATAATTTTTAATTAGATTATTATTTTATTTAATGAATATGATTTTTTTTACATATAAATATATTTATGTCAGATGGGTGTAGATTCTAACTTACAAATTAGGTCGGGAAACCCTCCTAAACCCTGATCGAGTCGGATGCAAATGAAAAATAATAATTTTCAGATTAGGTTTGGTTAAAAATTTGACTTGATCCACTGAGATCCCTAAATAGGACTAACCTACTAAGATTTAAAATGATAAACTCAAAAAGACATATGAACTAGATTTATAATCAACACTTGATATATAGACTGATAATATAATTTAACAAATACCAATCGAACAAGAGCATTTGACCAAATTAAAAACATGAAAACTATATTGTTAGCCATATTATATCAATACATGCGTAGGCATGAGAACGAAAGAATGCTTTTCATAATTGTTTGTACAATATTGGTTCAAACCATTGGGGATTAAATTAAATTTGGTTTCTCTGTTGACAAAGTGAGCATAATTTTATGTCTTTCACTTGAAACTAACGAAATATGTATGAACATGTGTGGGGAGGCCATGCAATTTCATTTGTTTTCTAGTATTTGATTATTGTTTGTTTGCTTAGTGATTTACATGTAGGGGTGAAGTCATGCTTTGTCAGTGGCATACGTCTTGTCCATGCTATGTGGTATGCTATGCCCCATCTCTTTGAAACTTATATTTTACCTATAAAATTTCTCTATCAAACTTTTCATCCTCATTCCTCTAAACACCAAAAAGCAAAGAAAATAATACAAATTAACTATACAATTTAGGTCAGCGGTCAGGCGTGTAAATCGACCGTCTAAAGACTGCCCGTTACTTCCACCATCTTAAGCTGCCCGAAATAATCATTAGGGCACCCACCTTGACTTTACTCCTAAGACAAAATCATTTATCCCTTATACTTTCACTAAAGAATTCACTGAAATAATTAAATTAATTAATTAAATATAAAAAAATTAGTAAGTATACATCATGAGAATTATTTATCTCCATCATTCAAAAGAAATTGTTAAAAAAATTAATATTTTAATAATTTTTTTATAAAAACAATAATTGAACTTTTTAAAAAAGTTTTAAAACCAAATTTATTTTTTTAAAAAAGAGAGTATAATTTAACAAATAATAATAATAATAACCAAATTGATTAAATGTAAATATTAAAAAATAAATTTGTTATTATATCAAAAATAAAATATAATTATAAATTATTTTAGGAAACATAAAACTAAATATATTGTGTCATTTTTTTCTTAGATCAATAACTTACTATTAATCTATAAAATAAAAATTAATATTTTAAAATAATAATATTTGATATATTAACAGTGTATAATTATATGCATCATTAATTAATTAAATGATAAAATATCAATATGAAAGTTTAAAATTAAATTTATTTGTAACCATTTATGTTATCTTATTGACTAATGATGCGTAAAATTATATAATACCAATACGCCAAACATTTAAGTAAAAAAACTATATAGTTTACACTTAAAAACTACAAAACCCTAACTCAAACATGTGTCACATACACGAATCACGTCCCATGTCCACGTTGCATTCCTTCTTCCTAAATAAAAAAAACCCTAATATCTAGAGTAAAAGGCCAATGCTAGGTGTTGCTTTCCCCCCCTTGGTTTAGTTATTTCTTAAATATATAAAAGTAAAACCAGATAGCTAATGTGGGGATAAACGGGATTAGTAAAATCAAATAATGGATGTTGATGAAAGACAAAGGGCACAATAAATTCCCCTGATATTCAACTTAATATTCCATGCTGCATGCATCGAGTTCACCAACAGTAAAGAACTAATTTTCATGAGGGAGCCTCTTCGTTTGTCTTTTTATGCTTTTATTTATTTATCTGGTTCTTTTTCAACAACTAGGAATGATTCTATTGTGGAATTATCCCTCATGCATTGTGTTCCCCCAACGTAAAATACGCGGGGATATATATATTTTCTATTTTTAATATATTTTTGTGGTTGGTTGTGGTGTAATGAAGGTGTGTTTAAATATTCCAGCCAAGTGGTGCACTTAGAAAGGTTTTATTTTTATTTTTTTGATGGCCCCTAGGATGAGGTGTATGGAAGCTGAGATTAAAGAAGCGGAAGCGTGACGAAAGGAGGCAATAGCGCATGCAGATGGGGAAGGGTTTTGAGAACGATAGGGTCCACGTGTGATCTCCGTGGCCCTACGATATAATTTTACTACACGTTTTACTATCATTTTTTCTTCTTTTTTTTATGCGAGCGTCAACGGAGGAGGAGATGATAAACCCTAAGATTAAGGTGTTTTCATTTGCTAAAGTCAATGCATTATTGCACTTTAAAAAAATATGAGAACAAAACGATAAATCAAAGAAACCTTTTTTCCCACTATGTCCAAGAGAGGCCATCTCTTTGGCCATTCCCTGCATTGATTATTGCCCAAGATAACAAGATTGGGCTATGTTTGTCTATATTATGCGCAATGGTTATGGTGTAAAAGGGTAATAATTCTCCGCCTAGGTTTTAGTACTATGCACAAAAATCATTAACGCAAGAGCTAATGATACTTTTTTTTTAGAGAGAAAATAATCCTCCACCTATGCTCAAAATCACTTATAACACTAATCATTTGAACATTTGTGTTGCATGCCATGTGAGATATGAGATATTTTTTATCCCTAAAACAAAGCCTAACCTAAGGAGATATTTCTTATCCATAAAACAAACCCTAATCTAAGACAAAACAACATTAGGGTTAAAAATTGTATGGAAAGGGGATTATTTTCGAATAGTAAAATAAAAAATATTAGATTTTTTAACTAAGGTCAGAAGTTCAAACTCCGAATCTTAGTGTTGTGAACAGACCAAATTAAGTTGGAATGATCAGTCCTATAATGAATCTCTCTATAATATCATATTTGAATTAATTAATCTATTGATCAGATACTCAGGTTAAAAAATAGACAAATACACTTGATTTTATACCATATATAGATATGACAAAAGAGATGCCATATCATCCGGCGGTTGCGAAGGATTTTTCCAAATCAATGGCATCTGTTGACCTAAACAACTACATGGGAAGTTATTATTATTATAATTATTAGAATATAAAGGCGAGCATGACACACATCCGTGAACATATGTATATTATGATGTTTTGAGGTTGGTTGCACATTTTTTTAAAGGCGGAGACTATAAACCAGCAATAGCTGTAACACGGGCTTTGATTGATTGGTATTATTATATGAAAACTAGAAACTATCCTAATCTCATCTGGATTACTTTTTTGCGTGAAGTGGAAGGAAAGAAACAAAAAAGTATTTATATATATGCACCAGTTCCATGGCAAAAGAGTTGACTTATATATACATAAGACTGCAATATATTATCGATACTGGCACAACAAACCAGAATGTCGAGCATGTCCTCATTCTGGTTTACATATTTTATGTTGGAGACAAGACAGGCAAATGATTGTCTGGGGGTGCCACAAAGGACAAATGAAGGAAGTCCAAATTACTGTTAACTAACACTTCACAAATTATATAGATTATGTAACGTAACCCTGGCTAGCTAATTATGACCATAATCATCTGTCAATTTTTCGGTTGAGTAGCGAGATATTATATTTCTTAAATGAATATTAATGTATGAATCCACACAACATTAGATAACATTAACATCTTTAACCACTCGATAAATTAATTGATCTCAATATCTATCTTTTTCTTTATCTCAAGTTAATCTCTCAAATTCTTTTTTGCTGAAATCAAAATAATAATAACGCTAATGTATAAAATTTTAGTTCCAACCATTCATTTTAAATTATTTCAATGATTATATTTTAGGGTAAAATTAATAAATTTTATAGAGAACATGGCCGACTCTAAGGGGAGCACCTTGAGCGGTTGCTCAAGGGCCCTAATTTTTTTTGTATTTATAATTAGGGCCTCAATTTTTTTATACTTATAATTAGGGCCTCTATTTTTTATAATTCATAAAATTTTAGTTTTTCTCATTTCTCTTATTAATTGATCCAATTTTGGATTAAATTTAACCAATTTTTTTATATTTATAATTAGGGCCCTTAATTTTTATAATTTCATAGGAGTAAAATGTTTAGTTTTTGACCCTCTTTTTCCATTTATCTTATTTATTTATTCAATTTTGAATTAAATTTAATCATGCTTTTCTCCCTTCTCAAATCTTACTCTTTAGTTTATCAAATATTCTTAAATTTTTAGTCGTATTCATTCTCAATTTAACAATAAAGTAATATACAACTATTTTTATTTATTTATTATTCAAAATCAAGCTATGTATCATATATGCATTCAATTTTTCTATATTTATTCTCTTTTAGTTGTCTTTAAGGTGTTCTCTTAATAAAGTAATAAAAAATAATATATTTTCATAAAATTTAATTATTTTTCTATAATTTATTTATGTAATATTGAATTAATTGTTCAAAGTAATAAATTATACTTTCATTTTATAAAGATATTTTTTAGTTTTTGCTTAGGACTCTGAAAATATCCATAATGGATGTGATAGAGAATATTTATTAATAAAATATAAGATTAAATATTTTTACACTAGTAATTGAGGGGTTTTCCTTTACCTTCACACACGAATTATCCTAAAATTAAGTGTATTATTAGTGTGGGACACTCTACCAATATAGACTACATGGCTTGCAAGCTAAATCATTAATATGCTATAGGTACCGACCAAGATTTTATATTAGACAATCTTTAGAGCCATGAACTACGAGTTAAAGGCCTAATGAATGTTCCCTAAGAAAAAGGGTACCCTAGAAATTTACTTCCCACCTAAATGTATGAAGAGAAAAGCATGCATTTAGTTCTGATGTCTCTGTCATGCCCTGAGCACCAACCAAGACCTACAATGTCGTGTAAAAATTTTCTGGTAAAAAAGATGGGTTGATTATCTCTTTTTGGCTGTTTTTGAAGTTTATGTCGTTGTATTTTGGAAATCTAAACCAAAAAAGATATGGAAAATGAAGCATGGGGCAGGTCATTCTCTAAAACATAGCAGCATTTAATTTAAACAAAGGGAGTTGCATTTATGTGTTTTTGTTTAAATACCTCTGATTCGCTTTCCAGTCTCAGCTTGTTGACCAGATACTTCATTAATAGCTGCACTGTCATCTTCCCGTCTCTGAATATTCCACCCAAAAAAAACACGAAATAAGTTTGTAAGGCAAAATAACAACAATTATGAAAGCCTGGAGAAAACAATGTACGTGGAATGTGATAAACTGGAACAAAAACAAAGAGATAAGTGTAGTTACTTGATTCTCAGGTAGCTCTTTGGAATCTGAGGCAGGAACGGTTCTTTTTCTCTGTAAAAAAAAAACTGAATTTCGACAGAAATTTTCAAACAGAAGTAAAAAATGAGGAAAATATTGTCCTAGTTTTGAGAAACTTACTGGTTTTCTGATGCTTGTAGCACAAACCAAATGCCAGAATTGGGTTTTCTAGGAGGATCAATGATTCCAACATCCAAGCTCGGCCCGGCGACATCCATTTCGGGTTGCACCGGAAATGGTCTGGCAAAACAAGACCCGAATGGCACCAAAGAAGAACAAAAAGAGGAGGAGGCTGAAGGAGCCGCTGCTATATTTATTGGTAACGGCCTAAATGACGACGAGCTAAGCTCTCCATGATAAGGGAACGTGGAGCTGATCCCTTGGTGGTGGTGCTGAAAGAATAAAGATGTACTAAAACTATGCACGAGCGGTGGTGGACGTGACGGAGCTCGAAACTCAGGCATATGATAGATAGCAGCTAATGGCCTCGCTCGCTGCGAGCTGCCACCGCCGGGTAATAGATCAAGCTCAATCAACCCTTCTCTTCTGGCCGTTGGATCGCCTTGATCATGCTTGCTGCGATCACATCTTGGTGCCTGAGCTCGACCACCGCCTATACTGAGTTGGAGCCAACCTTCATCTCTCTCTAATTCCAGTTGTTGATGGTTATTATCTTTAGAGTTAGAGCCCGCCTCATTAATACTATTCGTTGTCGATTCATCTTCAGCCATGTGGTTATCAGATCCTATTCCTAAACAAGTTTCGGTGTGAAAATCATACTCATGAACACGGCTCATAAGACCAAAGCTCACCGTATATACACTGCCGCCGCCACAATAACCGTAAAAACCGCCGTGAGGAAGAAGATGATGTTGTTTAGGAAGGTTTTCAGCAGGAACCATGGTCATATCCGGTGACCGCCCACAAACACCAACACCCGGTTTCGTCTATAGCAAGGAGAAGCAAGAAGAAGATGCTGATGATGCCGATGTCGATTTTGACAAAGAATTCCCAGCTTAACCCTGAACTCAACATAAGCCATGGATGAACAAGATCTTTTCAGTCGAAGAATAAACGGTTATTGCCATAAGCATATTTTGGAGTTAAGAAATCGAGTAACACCCATTAACCATGGTCTTTTGATTAATTTTCAACATGGCAGAGGAGAATAAACGTTGAGAATCTCAGTTTCCATTAATTATCTTTGTTTGGAAGCTTGTGGAAATGAAATAGTTGCAGGAGAAGGGGAGAGAAAGAGATGATGGTCGGTCAGTCAGTCAGATTAAATAACAATAATATTTGTATATTTGTGAATATGATAAGAGACGGCAATCGGGTTTTTCGGATTGAATTTAGGTCAAGTAAATTCTATTCTATTTCTTTTATTATTTTATTTGGTTTAAGTTTATTCGGAGTTAAATCAAATTAAATATGATTTGAATTTAATTTGAATTTGTAGTAACTTGAGTCCATTTAAACATCAGATTAAATCATTATTAGTTTGGATAAATATTAAATCGAGTCAATATTGGATAAATTAATTTTAAGATCAAGTTTATCTTTAGATTTTTGAATTATTTCGAGTTGAATCAAATATGAGTTCAATCCAATGTGTAAAATTTTAATTGATTTGTTTTTATAAAAAAAATATTTCATCAATCATTTTGGGTAGGGTTTAATTTTATTTTATGATATTTAATATCAAATATTTTAAAAAAAATTAAAATATCAAATTAAATATGAAGAATTTCAATATGGGTTGATTCAAGTGGTAATCAGTTTGATTCTGCATAAGCAATGTCTCACATTCGAGTTTTTGTGTATGCAGAAAGTCTCTATTGGGAGACTCACCCACCAAAATCAGATGTGCGACGTGGGTCAATCTGTATTAATTAAAGTAAAGCCTTAAAACCGGGAGGACAACAAAAAAAAAAGATATGAAGAATTTTCAAAAGAGAAATATTGAATCATTAAACCATAACCAAAGATTATGGTTAACTAGAAAAAAATTCAAATTGTTATTGTCTAGATTATTAGGTAATCGAGAAGGCAACGAGGGAGAGCAGTCGAGGGGTTCGTCTCTGGTAGGGGGTTGAAGTGTTCGTGGACAACATCAGCAAGAGGGTCCATCAGTTTGCACTGAGGGAAGCTTTTGAGGCGTACGGTGAGGTTTTGGATGTCTTTATCGCATATCAGAATACCAAAAGAAGACATAGTCAGACTACGTTTAAGTTCGTGAGGTATAAAAACCTGATTGAAGCCAATCGTGTAGTGGAGAATGGCAATGGAAGAAAGATTGATGGTCGTGTCGTTAAGGTTTTCGTGGCAAGGGTTCAGAAAAAAGTCCGCAAAGCGTCTCAAACGAAAGGGTGGAAGGTCGAAAGTTCTGGAGAAAATTATCAGGCTTCAAAGATTCGAGATCTTTTAAGGATGCTCTAGTGGGTGTTGCGTTCGTCAGATTAAAGGAATGTTTAACCCTTGAATCGTACAGGATGTAGTACGATCTGATGGGTTTGACGTTAAAGTATGCCCTTGGTTTGGTTAATTGACAGTTCTCCAGTTTGCTAGTTTTGAAGATTACCAAGTCTGTTAGAGCATGAAAGAAGAATTTATGAAATATCGGTTTGAGAGCTTGGAAATGTTGGCAGGTTTCGACGGGAAGAGGAGAGTAAAGGAATGGTTAGTGTTACATGACGTTCCTTTGCATGTTTGGAGCAAGCAATATTTCACTGATTTAGGTAATAGATAGGGGTCGGCAAACAAGATCGACGATTACACCTTGTCCCGCAATCGGTTCAAATAACACAAGGGTCCTGATTGAAGTTCAATTCGAGTCTTCTATACCTTATAGGGTCCCTCTAGTTGTCAATGGTATGAGATTCATGATTAAAATTAGAACAGAGACGTAAGAAGGGAACTTCATTTTCATCGACGGTCGGTCGTTGTTCGATAAGAATGGGAACGATGATGACCTTAGTGTGGCTGATGGGCTCCCCAGACATCAAGAGGAAGATAATGATTCTGATGATAAGGTGGATGGAGACAGTCATGCTTTGGCTTTTGATCTCTGTCAGTTGAAAAGTACAGATGCAGTCGAGAGCGGTTGTCTGTTTGGCAGATGCTAATCACGTGGGGTCTATTTCCTTTTAGGTGAAGAAACGTGAGATTCTCATAGAAATAGAATGCACATTCTCCGTTTGGTTGGTCCGATAGTCTTATATTATAAATAGTAGATTTTTTTGGATATATTACCAAAAATATCTTTATCTCCATTTCCTTTGATATTTTTGAATTACTAGTGTTTTGGCCTAAAATGCCCTTAAAAAAATTTTCTTTCAAAAATATTCTTATTATGTCATTGAATAATAAAAATTCTACGAAGGTTAAATTACAAACTATTTTAGATTTACAAAAAAAAAACTATAATTAAAATATTATATGATGTTTAGGGGTTAAAATAAAATTTTACCATTTCATTAAACCTTTTTATATTTTTAATTTTGTAAAAAAATTATATAAATTTTATGAATTTAATTTTTTTAAAGAAAATAAATAAATATTTTCTAATTTGTTAAAAAACCAAATATATAATAAGGACAATTTGGTTAAATATACATTCTAATAATCTTTTATTCCTTTAACCAAACACAATAATCTTACATTCCTGCTAAACCAACCAAACACAAAATACAACATTCCCAGTAATCATATTCCCTAATAATCTTTTATTTTCACTGGTAATCTTACATTCCGTGAACCAAACGCATCCATAGTAGTATGGGAATGGTCCAGGTTCCAATTTTATCTGGAAATGGGCCCTTACTGAATCTGGATATAGGTGAAGGTGGACTTTCGAATGAGTATAAGGAAGTGATCAAGTGAATAACCATAGCATAGGACCATCTATTTCAAATGGGTTTGGTCTCCTAGATGTTCCGATTGAGGTCATTGACTGAATTATGATCCCTTCAATGGGTGAGAGGTATATTTTGGGTCAAGATCTACAAGATAATGGGTTGTCTCATGTGGAACAGGCCTGTATGAATCGCCAACAGGTCGGGCTCTAAAATGGAAAACTAATTGATAGCAGGTGTGAAAATAATCTTAGAGAAAACGTTAAAAGCGAAATGCAATCAGAAGGAAAAAAATTGCACAATCAAAAGAAATGGAATTCAGGTTTCGCGGGGTCCCAATCCGAGAGGGGAGAAAACTACCGTGAGAAGTCAAGATCCTTGCAGGGAGGCAACGAAAGAAGGCATTGCAACATTTGAAGTGGGGGGGGGGGTAAACTGGGTGTTAAATTCAATACTTTTGACAGTGTAATAATTTAGAGGGATGGGCATGAGACTCGAACCTGAGGAATTCTGATCCAATCAAGTCAGATTTTAAAAAAAAATTAGGTTCAGGACGGGATTTTTTAGAGATTATGTTTAGGTTGGGTCGGAGTCGGGTTTAGGGTGAAAAATACACGACTCGACCTGACTTAAAAAAAGTAATTTTACCTTATATATTTAGAAATAATTGAAATAATATCCCTTTATTTATTATTTTTTAATTAAATCCTATTTTTATTGAATAAAAAAATATTTTAATAAAATATATTATTTTAGGTTGGATTGGATTGGGTCGAGTACGGATTTTATCTCAAAAAGACGGGTTGAGTTTGGGTCGGATGAAAGGTGTATTTTTTAGGTCGAGTACGAAATCCTTGTGCCTCAATCAACGTATATAGAAAAGGTGCTAAAGCGATTTTATATGGATAAGGCACATCTAGTGACTACCCCAATGGTTGTAAGAACACTTGAACCGAGTAAAGATACTTTCTGTCCTAGGGAAGATGATGAAGTTTTTCTTGATCCCGAAGTATCATACCTCAGTGCAATTGGGGCATTGATGTATCTTGTCAGTCATACCCGACCTGATATATCATTTTCTATAAATTTGGCATCAAGATTTAGCTCATGTCGTACTCGAAGGCATTGAACTAAAGTTAAGCAAGTATTTTGTTATCTCCAAGGCACAAAAGAAATAAAGTTGATTGGTTTTGCAGATACAAGATTTATGTTAGATCCTCATAATGGTAAATCACAGACTGATATATTTTTATTATATATGTTAGTATATCAATCTCTTGGCACTCCATGAAGCAAACGATTGCAGCGACATCTTATAATTATGCAGAAATCTTAGCAATCCATGAAGCTAGTCATGAATGTGTATGGCTGAGATTTATGATTCAGCACATGCAGAATAACTGTGGTTTATCATATGGAAAAGAAGCTGCAACATTCTTGTTTGAAGATAATAGAACATGCACTAAACAACTCAAGAGTGGGTACATCAAAGGTGATAGAATAAAACACATTGCACCTAAATTCTTCTTCATGACCTTCAGAAAGTTAAAGAAATAAAGGTTAGTCATATCGGTTCAAGTGAGAATTTGACAAATTATTCACTAAGGTATATCCTACATCTGTGTTTAAGAAGTTATTACACTACATTGGAGTGTGTCACCTTAGAAATCTCAAGTGATGTAGCAACTAGGGGGAGTAAATACGCGTTGTACTCTTTTTCCCTTGACCTTGGTTTTATCCCACAGGTTTTTGAGGTAAGGTTTTTAATGAGACAGCATGTCAAGCGTATACTTTTGTACTATTTTCTTTCACTAGGTTTTTGTCCCATTGAGTTTTTCCTAGTAAAGTTTTAACGAGACACAATTTGATAATATGCATCTAAGGGGGGAGTGTTATGAATATATTATGTGGATGTCATTATTACATCTATTAGTTAATGTGACTTTTAGCATTCTTCAATTAATTGATAAGATGAAATACCAAAAGGACTTGACTCTTCACATGTATCATAATTATTAGAGAGCATTCCTCTCTCTCTCTCTCTCTATATATATATGGGGTTCATGTACTCATCAATTAATGAAATATACATCTATCTCTATTTTCTCTCTCATATCTCTTCTTTATTTTAAAATATATTTATGTTTAAGTTCAAATATTTAAATCTAATTTCAAAATATGAAATAAAAAATATATCGGATTTAAACTTTAATCACTCTTTCCAAATCAATTTTGTATGATTTTATATATACAATATGCATTGAATTAATATGTTTAGTCATCATCTCTGTATTTTTTCAACTTTCAACTTTGGTTTTGCCTTTCTGTTATGACAAAGTAAATTACCTCAATTATGGACGATAATCAAGGTGTAATTGTGTGCCGTCCACAGGTGTCTTGCTTCCACGTGGCTTTTAGGTTGTTGCACAACATTTTTACTAACTAAACTAATATTCAATGGATTAATATAAAAATTATTAATTATTTTTTCGAACAATGACAACAGGATTTTATTAATAATGAAAGGAATAAAAATTACAACGCATTATAATATAGAGAAATTTGGAGATAATAGTCACCAAAATACTAGTACAAAAGAAGCAATTAAAACTAATGATACGAAAAAAAAAACATTTCGATGAGAATGATGACCAACATCAAAACTCAATAACCTTCATAAAAAATCATTGTTTCTGTCGAATGAGACGCTTGACGAAGTGATAAAGGAGTGGAGAGCGAACCAAATAATCTGACAGGCTGCTTCGCTGCACAATCTGATTACATTGACAAACAACTTTTTTACCAAAAGAGTGAATCTGACTATACGTGACCATCGACTAACCAATCAGAAAATAAATGTCGTGATGGTTTTTGTGTGAGAATCAAAACGATCGAAAATGTATGCAGAAAACGTACGAAAAACATAAGAATCGTGTCACAAGAACAAAGAAAACGCATACCACAAGAATAGAAAAAAAATCATGTCATAAGGAAAGAGAATCTTATTCAAAATTATTAATTATTTTTTAAAATTACAAATATATGATAAATCAAAATCACAAGAATGAGAATAATAATTGAAATATTTAAAGACGATCCACACATGATGGCAGTTAAAAAGTATTAAAAGATCAACACATAATTTACATTGAATGGGAGTCAAACCTTAATGCTCAAAAAGTAGGCCTCTGCTCCCCTAATTTTACCAGAGTTTGGCAAAATAATAATTAAGAATTAAAATAAAACTGTAGTACTATGGGGGAAAACTGTTTGTTTGTTAATGTTATATTTTATATATTATTAATCAGGGTAAACTATACCATTAATCACTCAACAATTCATCCCTTTTATTTTTATCATCAATCTTTTAATTTTGTCAATAAGATTACTTAACTATTTAATTATTGCAATCAAGTCATTTATCTTTAACAATTGACGGAAGTGCTAACGTAACAATTAATAAAATTAGTATAATTATACGTTTTGTCCTCAATACTTATATATTTTATTAATTTAATTTTAATTTAATAAATTTAATTATTTAATCAAATTATAACATGTGTCACAATATGAATGGAAGATTATTTTATTTTATTATTTATTTTCCACCCAACGTGATACCATTGGATTGGATGAAAAAGTAATATTATAGAAAGAAATGAAACAGGAAGAGGGACCTGGTATTCGAACCAATGTCATAGGGATTTAAGGTCAGCGCTCAAACTACTAAGCTAAGATCTCTGCTTGGTTTGCAGCATTCAGATTATATGTTGTAAGCAATGGCAGAAAAAGAAAAAAAATGGTCAATGGTATTAGTTTACCCTTTTTGTTATTCTTCTTACAAAAGTTTAGTCTTTATAATGTTTTGTGAAGATCGAATGGAACGATGCAGTATTTAAGGTTTTTTTAAAAATAATTTTATATATTTTTAATAAAAATAAATTAAGTTAAAAACATGTAAAAACATTAATAAAAAAATAAAGTTATTTCTTAAGTTAAAAATTTAATTTAATGGTTATATATATTCTTGTTAAATTTTTTCAAAAGTTTAAGTCTTTTAAATAATTTTGAGTTTATATATATATATATATATATATATATATATATATATATATATATATATATATATATATATATATATATATATATATATATATATATATTAAAATTACTTCTTAAGTTGAAAAGATTTAATTTTATGATTATATATATAAATTATTTTTAATTTTATCAAATAATTTTTTAAAAATAATTTCATACATTTTCAATAAAAATAATTTGATATATATATATATATATATGAAATTATTAGTAAAAAATTAAAATTATCACTGAAGTTAACAAATTTAATTTAATGAATATATATATAAATTATTGTTAACTTTTTCAAATAATTTGATATATTTGTTATTAAAAATTGAGTTATATATATATATATATATGAGATTATTAAAAAAAGAAGAAGCTAAGATTATAACTTCTTAATTTTTTTCTTCTGCTGTTCGTTAATTATAGTGGTATGTTAATTGAAGGGTCCTAGTTTAGTGGCCCGGGCGCTGACTTTGATCCTTGTTCGCACAGGGTCGAATCTGGGGATGGGCATTTAAACCCGACCCGATCGGGTTGAATTTTTTATAAAAAATTTGGGATCCGACCCGACCGACCCGAAAATATATATAATTTTACCCTATATATTTAGAGATAATTATAATAATACCCCTCTCTATTTTTTTTCAATCAAGTCATTATTTTTATTGAATAAAAATATTTTTTTTATTATTTGGGGTCGGGGCGGGCCGGGTTTCTATGTCATATATTCGGGTCGGGTCGGATTGGGTCTCGGGTGGAGACTCTCTTGCTCTCAGGTCGGGTCAGGTGGACAAAAAACCCGACCCATGCCCATCCCTAGTCGAATCCCAACTTGCCTACTTGTGTCATTTCTTCTTCTAATACTAATTTTTCATCCAATCTTACCGTGACACGTGTCACTATCCGATTGGGGGAACATAAATAATAAAATTAAAAAAATATCTTCCATTCATATTGTGACACATGTTATAATTTGATTAAAAGATTAAATTTATTAAATTAAATTAATAAAATATATAAGTATTGAGGACTAAACATAGAATTATACCAATTTTATTTACTATCACATCAGTATTTTTGTCTACTATTAATAGCAAGTGGCTTGATTGCAATAACTAAATATATAAGTGACCTGATTGACAAAATTGAAAGATCAGTGGTAATAATAAAAGGATTAAAATAGTTGAGTAGTCAATGGTATAATTTACCCTATTAATTATTATTAGAGTCGGATCGCAGGGTAATAATGTTTAAAACTTAAACGCCCTTATCTTACATACGTGCTGACGGTTAGCAATAAAATTTGAAATGCTTTAAGGGGTGGAGTGGAAAATTAGAAGAAAAAAAGGGTTTACGTACCTTTCTTTACGCACAAGGAACACTTAAATTAAGTTATGATCTGACCGGTGATTACTGATTAACTCCTTTTGTGGTGTCCGTGTTCAATTATTAAGAGCTTAATCTTAGATTAAGTTTTAATGTGTTGTAAAAGAAAATACTGTTCTTTTTACATGTTTTACATTTAAATAACTATATCGGTAAGATGTATCGTGTATGTATAATTTTAATAATTAAAAGAAATCTTAAATAAATAATATTTATAATCACTTAAAATTTTAAAAAAAAAAGGAAACTTGAGGATTGGGGGAGGGAGACAGTTGGTTTGGACCCCAAAGGCCAAGCCTCACCGCCATCTCCTACCAACTGGTCATATCATATAGTAATACCACTTTTAGTTAAACCGGTTTTCTTGCAACCTTGGACCTACTCTGAGCATGCGACAGCTGTAGCAAATGCTGGAAAAAAAAAATCAGTCCCAGAATGTCTGCTTGTTTTTCTTGCATAGGAAGATAAGAAATCTGGACATTCGATCCCCTCGTGGAGATGATAGTGGGAGAGAATTGGGTTCTTTTTTCAACCCCATTTCGCCTTTCCCAGCAACCATCACCGTGCAAATTCTGATCTCCAAATATCATATCTTTATTCTTGTCCTCCCCAAAAAAGCTCTCAGTTTTTGTCGAAGTCAACAATGTATATATGTACAGAGATGTACTAACATATGCTTTTTTTTATTAGTGTGCCTTTAATTTTCTACTTTCTCTGTGCTCAGACCTGCGTTTTGGAACTTCCTCTGCATGTTCATATGCAAAAGTGAATCATAACATGTTCCACGATGACATTTGTTTAACTTTCGAACCATGTGCTTAACAAAGTTTTGGTATTCAAATAACAGTTGATGCGTGCTGAAGCTCTTTGGTTCAAAAGAGGGTTATTCTTCTGATTGGGTAATCAGATGCCCAACTACTGATACATGATGAAAACCAAAAGTGCGAAACTGGGATTGTTTTTTTTTCAAGGTTTTCTTCTGAAATAAGAACTATTTCAGCTACTGCTTTCTTCGTGGTCGTCCGTTTCATTATTTGAAGCTTGTGTGATCCCACTGGAGCAAGAAGAAGAGGCCGAAGGTGGGATATTTAAGTCGGGGTTTTCCCTGGTCAGGAAATCATAGAAAACATGCCTCATTGTCTTTGCTTTGCCTGCTCCCTTCTCGATGCTCTCGTCGTCGTTTTTGGTACTGCAACCACCTCTTTTCTTCAAAAATATCCGGCACAGCACCCAATTTTCCACGGCCGCCGTATGGCTCTGCGTACATTTTGACAACAAAATCGTTTAATTTGACAGACCAAACACAGCGTAATTAAAACAACAATGTGGTTGGGACGAAATGGTTAGACCAAGAAACTGACCGGTGTTTGGTTCTTCTTGTGTGGGGCACCGCAGGCTGTTGTTTCTCCGGCAACGAGGCGATATTCATGCATGATCCAGTCGGTCCGAGTTCCCTGCGGTGGTTTTCCTCTATAAAAAACCAATGTTTTCTTCATACCAACCACTTGGTTCCCCCTACAAGTCACGATTCGTTTGTCGATTCCGGTTGCTTTCCAATAACCCGAAACCGTGGCTCTGTTGGATCTGATCCCGTGGGGATACTTGGCTTCCCTGGTGCTAAAAAAGTACCTCTCTTTCTCCAAATCACCTGATAAACATCAAAATGTATCAGTCGATTTCTCCTGAAGACTACTTTTTTTTTTTCAATGTCAAGTTAAACCAACCTGGTAATTCCCAAGGATCGGCTTTGCAGACATCAACTTCAGGAATGATGGAAGCCGGTAAGGGCCAAGCAAGCACCTTTCTTCTCAAGTACTGAACCACCAGCTCTTCATCGGTTGGATGGAACCGAAACCCAGGAGGCAATCTTAGCACACCATCCTTAACGAAGTTAAGCTTCTCCATTAAAAAGACAGGTACCCAAAACCAAGAAGAAGATGGATGCTGATAAAGAACAACAGTTGGGGGGCACCCAGTTGAGCCTACAACAGCAGCAGCATCCCAGTTTGGCTTCTTATACTAGTAGTAGAGAATATCAACGAGGGGGAACAAGAAGAAAAGGGGAAAAGAGGACATAAAAGGAAAGGAAAAGTTGTGGAGGGACGGGGGAGAAGGAAGGTGGGTATTGTCACGTTGTGAGAGGGAAAGTGCGACTTCTTTATAGAATAAGGGTTTGTTAAAAGGAATACGGACGACGCATTTGGCGTAAACCATACTCAACCTCTTCCTTCCCCTCTTTCTTCTCCTTTTAACCAAGTTAAAATTAAAACTGTGACTTCTGTTCGGAAAAATGATTCAAGCTTTTTTCTTGGTTATTCTATCCAATGTGTTTTTTTAAAGGTTAGATCCGTTAATTTCGGTTGATTTTTTTTTATTTTTTTGGTCAGTTTGGTTTTTTTTTGGTCCGTTAATTCAAAATAAACTAATCATATTAATTTCGATAAGAACCGTAAACTAATGTCGTTGTTTTAGTAGGATAAGATATTATATATCTTAGGTAACTTTAGGAGTTTAACTTTCGATGTTAGAAATATAACAAACTGGATTAAGAGGGTCACATAATCTAAATTAGAAGTTGATTAATATCCTTAGTCTACATTGTGACAACCAATTAAAATTAATAATTTTGATCAATAAAAGATATTTATGATCAAAGTACAAATAAAATCTATAACCTAAATTAAAAAATAAATAAAATTATCATAAAAATTAATATATGTCAAAAATAAATTTAAAATATTATTATCTAAAAATTAGACCGACAAGTTTAGTAAAAAAAATGCAACTCTCACAAGAGTAGAGTTGTTCATTAAAAAAAATACATTTGAGGGCATAATATTTTACAAATTGTTGGTATTTTGATTTGTATTTTTGTTAAAAAAATTAAAAAATCAATTTCCCATTTTTGGATCAAATGAAGAGGAAGTTTTACTCATTGTACTTTTAATTTTTTTAATTTACTCAATAAAATTTTAAATTATTTATGTTTTGATCATTTTAGATTATTTTATTTTATATAATGCGGTATTTTTATTATTATTTAATAAAAATAATTTAAAATAAATAAGAGAATAATATTTTATTATTATTAAATTTAAAAGGACTTAAAATAATCACCGCCCATCGTCGACCTTCAAAATAATAATAAAATTATTTGTATATTAAATAATAATAATAAATGTCATATCATATGAAAATAATAATAAAATAATTCAGAGTGGTCAAAACATGAACAATTCAAAAGTTAGATGAAAAAATTAATTTTTTTTTTGAAAATACAATGAATAATCAGTCGAATTATCATAAATACTATTTTTTTATTAACCTATAGTGATTACAAGTGATAATATATGTTTTAAAGACTCAAAATCATTTGACAATAAGCGTTTAAATATCATGCATTTGTTGGTGTTCGAACCCGAAACTTCTAGAGATAACAAACATCTCTTTAATCATTGAGTTCGCTTGGTTCGTGCATCATACATACTATTTTATTTGTTTTAAGTATATATATTATACAATTTGATTGGCCCGTTTAATCAGCTTAATTGACTGCCTTTATATCAATTTGATTAGATTAATTAAAATTATTGACTGCTCTCGCTGCCCATGATTATTACTAATTACATTGCTGAAATTAAAGGGTTTTTCACATTGGAAGTTTGGCAAATGAAATGATTGATTAAAAGGATTGTTCTTTTGTGATTTTTGCTTGCAACATTACGCAATTGGCAGGTCTTATGCCATCGATGTTTTGTTTTGTTTTATTGGGTAAATTATGTGTTTAGTACTTAAACTTTTAATTTTGGCATGTTTTAATACATAAACTTTCATTTTCTTCAAAATCACGTCCAATGTTTAGTTTTTTATTTTAATTTAGTACATCGCCGTTAAAAACTTAACGCATTTTTGTGGATAAATCACATCATTCATCACTCAACTATCTTCCCACACCTATTTTGGTACTAACTTTCAAATTGCTCATATTTTAACCACTCCAATTTATTCTATTAATAATTTTTATGACATGACATTTTATATTATTATTTTATTAATATATAATTAAAAATAAAAAAAATTAAATTTGAAAGTTAGAGTGATTAAATTAGGAGTAATTTGAATATTAAGTAATTAAATTTATAAAAATTTAAACTTTAGTGACCAAAATAGAAGTAAGAAGATAATTGAGTGATGAATGATGCAATTTAACCATAAAAAAATATCACATGCATATCACCCGTTAAGTTTTTAACGACGAGGCATTAAAACGAAATAAAAACTAAACATCAGACATTAGTTAGAAAAAAAATTAAAAGTTTAGGTTAAAACAGATTAAAACTAATAATTTAGGTATTAAATGTGTAATTTATCTTATTTTTTTTTGAAGGAATCAAAATAAATTATTGATAATTCATTTCCAAATTGAAAACGTAACTTATTTTTTACTTGCCAAACCTCAGTCAAGTCTTCCGTTTATTTGAGGAATAATGCGGAAATTAGCTAAATCCCACTTAACTTTCATAAATCATAAACAATATATATTAATATTTATAACTATCATAATTAGATTTAATTGTTTTTAATTATTTAATTTGAATTAAAAGAAAAACAGTTTTGAATAAAAATATTATATCTATTTTTTTAATTAATCTATTGTGCTTACAGATGGTAGTATATATTTTCAAGACTCTCAATCATTCGACAATGAACGCTCAAATGTCTTATAATTTCTTATACTCGAATTCAAAACCTCTAAAAATAACAGTTATTTCTTTAAACACTAAAATAACTTTATTCATGTAATATTGTATCTAAACTAGGCTTGTAAACGAACCGAACGCACACGAACGGAGGTATGTTCATGTTTGTTCATTTAATAAATAAACGAACATAAAAGAATATGAACATAAACGAACAAATTTTTTTTTTCATGTTCGTTCATTAAGGAATATGGCTTGTTCATGTTCGTTCATTTAAATGATAAACGAACACAAACGAACGAACATAAACGAACAACACAAACACAAAAAACAAACTTATTCGAACACAACAAATGAATGTAAAAAAAGTAAACAACAAGAATAACAACTTAAAATTCATTAATATAACCTGGAACTTTAGAGTTAATTTGTTCGAATATGGAAAAAACATACATAAATCATAAATAAGCTATATGAACATAATAAAGTCTTAAAGTTAATTTGTTCAATAAAACAATCTTCTTGAAATCCAAACAACTTCAATAATCTTCGTAACATATTCAACTTGCCCTCTGTTCGAACATAAATGAACGAACATAAACGAATATATAATCGAACGTTCACGAACATAAATGAACCCTTTGTTTATCTTCGTTCATTTAATTAAACGAACGCAAAATCACGTTCATGTTCGTTCATTTAATAAATAAACGAACATAAACGAACTTTCCGCCGCACGGTTCATGAACGGTTCGCAGAACGTTTAGTTCATTTACATGCCTAATCTAAACTAAATCCAAATCTATTCAACCACTCGACCCATAACCAATTCGTGTTTTAAAAACAATCATGTTATATTTTAGTTGTAATCCTATGTTAACATCAAATCATAGAATATAATATGAACAAAATGAAAAGCGAATTGAACAATAAGAGGGTGAAATTGTTTTTTATTAATTATTTTGTATTAATTTATTGATTATTTAATTTAAATTAATATTATAAAATTTTATTATTAGAACATTTTTTTACAATACTAATATTTAATTATTAACTTAAGCGGTAAATAATTTGTTATCGTTTAAGTAGATCTCGAGTTTGAGTCCTTATGTATGTAATAATATAATAAATCTTTATCGTAAAACTCACCCGTTGTATCCATATATACGTTACAGATAGGTCTGAATTGATCATGGTAAAACACTAGAATTTGACGTCAACAAAAGAACTTAAATATTTAATTTAATTTTTTTAATATTTTACTTTATTAGTTTAATTTATTGTTGGCGGAGGGCGCAATTGTTTTACACGGCATGAGTAACACGATTTATATAATAATTAGGAAGTATGCTTATCACATATACGCCATCCATCTCGATTGCTTGTTCCATTGGGAAAATTCCTTCTTTCGACATACATACTTTTAATTAACTCAGCCGTCCTGCCTCCTCCACAATATCTTTATTACATTTGTTAATTAATATGTTTATATCGCTGTTATATTAAGATTCATATCATGGTCGTATCTAGTAGTTAAGATTGTTTAATTTTTTATTAAGTTATTGTAATTATAAAGTAATATCTATTCTAAATACTCTTTAATTATTTGACAATGAATGTTCAATCACCCTGCTGCAGTCGTTGGTGTTCGAACCCGTGACTTCTAAGAATAACAACGATTTATTTAATAACCGAGGTAAGTTAGAGATAAATTATTTAAATTTAAAATAATAAAAATTCATTAAATATTTGATCTAATTTTTTTTTAAAAAAAATATGTTTTAACTAAGATTGAAGTGATAGAGAATGAAAATGCTATTAAATCTCTTTCACACTTTATATACCTTAGTTTATATTTTTAATTATGATAAAATATATTTTTAATTGATAGTTATAAATAAATCATAATCATGTCGATTTTTAAATTGTACATAAAATTTGAAAATAATATATATTATTTTATAGTTTAGTTGTGTATGATAACAAAATATATTAATATTAATTAAAGTTTTAAATCAAACATAAAATTGAAATTTAGGGGATACTGTAGGAAGATAATAATATTTATCGGTAGTAAAAAACAATTGCGATTATGGGGTGCACGCATCGAAATGCGTGTTTTGCTTAATTAACTACCTTATTAATTATTATTTTTTTTTGGGGAGAAAAAACTTATTCGATGAAAAAAAGAAGAAAGCAAAATAGCTTTGGTTGAGGGCTCCTTGAAATTGACAATGCGCCTGAGATTCTTAACAAAAAAGAAAAAAAAAACACGACGGTCCATTGATACTTTTTAACCGTCTCATAGCAGAATTTTCCACGATAATAAGCTTTCTACCAAGGCGTTTATATTGAAGTATCACACTTTGACACGATAATAATAAAATGTAGATCGTCATTTGCGTTTTTGCTGGTTCTATCTGATAGATCGTCATTCGTGTTTTTTTGTAGGTTATATCTGAGCTAGCGCCACGTAAGGAGAAGGCGTGGATCGTTATCCGTACATTCACAGGA